ATAATGGCATGATTTTTAAGGGATGCCTTATTTGACCTGGTTTAAAAGAAGACTAGTAAAGGATTGAATCATTGATGCTAGACTAATATTTTTAGATGAAAGTATGAGAAGCTGACCTTAGACACTGAAAAACACTTCTTATGAAAGCAGATCATTCTGAAGTAGGAGGGCAATCCCCAATTTGACTCTGCCAGTGTGTCTTTGGCTGTATATATGTAATGTAATCTATACGTGTATGTATGTATACTGGAGGCGTAAACATTAAATATTTATAGAACAGATTGTATATGTTGCCATAAGGAAAACTATCTTATATAATCTTTATTATATCATCATTATTATGTAGCAGATCTTTTATAGAACATCACTTTAACCACGGTCTGCCTGAAAGGAACTCAATCTCCCATAAGCTCATCCTCATGCACTTTCAATCACTTGTTCCCCTCCAAGCTGCTATCTGAAGGTTTCAATCACTTGTTCCCCTACGAGCTGCAATCTGGAGGTTTCAATCACTTGTTCCCCTCAGAGCTGCTATCTGAAGGTTTCAATCACTTGTTCCCTTCCGAGCTGCAATCTGAAGGTTATCATGCCATCCTGAGGTTGAAAAATATCAATCTGGACGACAGACCAACAAAGAAGATCCCAGATACCCAGTTCGACCTTCATAGAAGTTATAATTAGGGCATCCATAAAGACTATACCAGCCAGGTGTCACCTGCAGTTCTGTGCTGGTAAGAACCTTAACCATTTTAACATTTCTCCCAGATTTACATTATCAATCATGGAATCAAGGCCGAAGGGTTGTGATATCCATAGTACCAAGCCAAAGTTTTTACAGTTAAACTCATGGTTTCTGGATACTCAGGAGAAGAAGAAAAAAGGTAGTTTACAACATTTATAATTGTTACAGATGCTGCTTGAACCATCAGACTCGCAACTCTCCTGTCCCATACCCCAAGTGGTCAATACAGTTTGTGTATTATGTATTTCTGGTATGTTTGGTGTGATCATCTTGGCTATTTGATTGTTAGCAAGACCATCTGTTTTAGCAGAATTAAATACTTCTTGTTTCTTTCTCTTTCACAGCAACAGCACAGCAGTGACCAGAAAGGTAAGTTTGTGTGGCAAAATGTCTGTGATTAAACAAAACTATTAAGGGGTCACTACACCAAAAATTTTTATTTTTTTATTTACAGACTTAGAGCAGTTATTTTACAATGGTCATTTGTAGGGATACACGTTATTAGATTTGTATACTTTAAGTGTTAAAAAATCATAGTTGTCATGGCAATAGCCGCCATCTTGTGAAAAAAACAATATGTACTTAGAATCCTAAAATTTTAAAAACAAACATAGGTATTCAACAATAGATGATAGATCCATGACCTTTCATCCTATTTAGAGGTACAGGTCTAGTTTATTTACTTTAAACATGTTTTTAAATATTTTTCGTAGAATTTTAAAATGTAGGTTTATTGAAAAACTCAAAAAAATCTAGCATCATTAGACAATAATCAAATTTTAGAAACAAAAACTTTCTAAAATCTACTTTTAGATAGACCAGTCCCTATAATATTGTTTATGGAGTATGCATACAAAATTTCATGATTCTACTCTTCAAATTAGCTTAGATTTTAGGATTTCATACACACAGCAAACTGACATTTAAAGATTTGAGAAAACTGACTTTTAAACTTTTTTTTTATCTTAAAAAAGTGCACGAGGTGGTGTCATTAGTATTAACTTTTCAATGCTAATTGTTTACAAATGACATACATTTTTTGTGTCATCTATTGTACGAATCCCAAACTTTACAAAAACGGACACATTAAAAAAATGATATTTTTGTCATAAATTGGGAGCTTCCGTCGAAGTCTGAGTGCATCTGCCTGAATGTCAGAGAACCCACAGTCTACACAGAAATGAGTCAGCTGTGTAAAACGGATGTGTACGCAGCACTTAGGTTCTGGAACAGGACTACAGTCCAGATGTGGGCGAACAAATAGAACTTTTTGCAGTTTACAGCTGGTGAACGGTGTATCTCATCTGGTGTGTTAGTACAGAGTTATATCAAGGTAATATTTATACTGAAATACACAAATCACATTGTCTTCTCTGGTATAGCAACATCTCTATCTCTCATTGGTGGAAGTTCAAAATAGCTCCAGTGTTACCACAGTATTTATAAAATTACTGGGGGGTCGCGTTAGCGCAGTCGATAAGAAGCTCGCCTTCAAATCCAGCTGCGACTCGCTGCAGCCACGGTCGGTGTTCGAAACCGGGCAGCTCCCAGAGTTCACCCAGCCTCTAGGAAATGGGTACCAGAGTAATACTCTGGGGTAAATGGAGGAACGTCGCTGTAGCTACAGAGTTACGTGTGAACGGCGACACAGGCAGACAATTCTTACCAGCTGTCCGTACTGGTGGCAGAGCACTAATGGTTTAAAACTGTGCAATGACACTGGTTCACATCTCCCGACTTTACCTTTACCTTTATAAAATTACCACATGCTCTTATTTTATTCCTGTAAAGAATGAGATTATTCATTTTTATTATTACTGCTTCTGCTGCTTGAAGTAAACACCTTAGCAGTGTGTGGTACACAAACATGCAAGACATTTTATAATATTTGATTTGTTTTGTGCATCTTCAGATGGACCTGTGCAGAATCAGGGAGGTCATCAGATGATGGTGAGCTCTGTTGTATCCTTGTCTACATTTTTGTTTCAGAACGACCCCTTGTGGTTTCCGGGGCCCCACTATGGGGAACACAAGAATAGACCCACCGCCTCCCTAGCAAGCAGGTTGTGAGAGTCGACTAATTGGTTGGAGTGCATCTGCCCGAGCAGCCGTGAACAACCAACTGCCCACAAATAAGCCAGTAAAACAGGTGTACACACCAGAGTCCAGATGGACGATTAGCCAGGATTTTCTAATGGAGCTTACAGCCGGGCAACAATGAAAAAGAGTTTCAAATTATATTAAAAAATCTATAGAGTAATCAGTTAAAAAAAATCAGTGAAGTGTTCAGTGGAATGCATTCCCCAGAGCCTACAAGAAATATGTATCCAGTGACTTAGGCAGTGACCTGATGATCTCTATCACTGAGGTGTACAGGAGAGTTTCAAGTCAGCTAGCTTTAAAGAAAAAGCTGTTGGATTCACAAGGAAAGCACTTTGAATGCTATATTTAGATAACATATTCACACCTGTGCCTGTAAACACTTCGAAGACGCACATTAATTTATGTCTATTGAGGTGGTGCGGTAGCGTAGTCACTAAACACTCACCTTCCAACCCAAAGGTCTTAGACCGGAAACCAAATAAAGTCCTCAGAAGTTAAGGTGGCTGATATAGCATCAGTTGACTGTGTCACCTTTTGAGTGCTGTCTAGCATCCTATGGCCAGTGTGCCACTGGTGTAAAAAGGGCCCTTTACTTTTGTTTAGCTGTATTATGACTGAGTGTTATGAGTTGGTGTGACCAGTCTCCTTTATTATTACCACTAATCTTTCCCAGAAACATTTTCACAAAAATTAACCGCAGATTTCTTCTTCTTCACGTTCACCAGCTGTAAATTCCGGCGGAAAGTTCTGGTTGTTCGTCTTCTGGAATGCAGTCCTGTTCCAGAACCTGATTGTTGCGTGTGCATCCGTTTTACAGATCTGACTCATTTGTATGCAGACTGCTGGTTCCTTGCCTCTCAGGCAGATGCACTTCGACTTCAAAGGAAGCTCCCACTTAATCGACTCTTACGACATGCTTTTGGGTAGGCATTGGGCCTATTCTTGTTTTCCCTATAATAGGGGCCCCGGAACTCACACGGGGAACCGCAGATTTCAACACTTGTCCGTCTCTTAGCCCATTAGTGGTCATTTTCCATAAGTATGAGTCTGATTTCTCTTCTTTAGTTTCTTCCAGCAAGAAAGAATCCACTGTCGGTTTATCAGGCTTGTTGCATTTTAACCCATCCCACCTGGCAAACCAAAGTCCCATTGCCAGGCTACTAATTTTGACCCTTCCAGGGAAGAGCTAACTGACCCCAACACTTCTGGCTTGCAAGGCCTGGCATGTGAACATACCCCATGCACACACTAGTCTACTGTGCTTTCATCCTTTTATTTAAAAAAAAAAACCAATCCTAAATTAACTGCACATTTAATTGATATTGTAAAATATATGAGTCATTTCTGATATTGACCCTAACTTCTCAATGTTCATTTCAGCCACCAGATGGAGCTAACGCACAGGTAATAATCATGCACAGTTGTTAATGTTGTTCTGTTCAGTTTCCCCACCCCCACTGTTGGTATTTAAAAATGTTCTGTTCTATCTCTAGTGATTTCATCATGCATTTTGGGAATTTGTAAATAATAATTTCATTTTAACATGATAAAGCTATTTCAAGCATGTCTTAACAGGCAACTAATTGTGTTTCCTTCAAAGTGGGAGTACATCTTTCTGAGGGGCAGCGAACCACAATCTGCATAGAAATAAGCCAGATCTGTCAAATGGATGTTACTGTAAAACTCCAGTTCTAGAACACCTTCTCACACTGTGCCTTTGTATCCTGAGTTAGTATGTATATATGTATGCTTTTGTAAGGGCGTCTGTGTATATATGGCTGTGGGTATTTATGAGTAGTGGCTGTCAAATGGATGTTAATGCAAAACTCTATAAGTTCTAGAGTACGACCAAAGTCCAGAAGTAGATGCACGACCTTTATACCAGAGTTTACAGCTGGTGAACGCTAAGAAGAAGAAGCATGGATATTTTGATGGTAGTAAATCTTTTGAGAAGCATTGTCTGAATGGGTAGAATGTCAAAAACTAATTTGAGAGATCTCGTTTCAGATCAGTGGTAAAACAATGGGATTTTTCCTCTCTGGAACAAAAAATAGATTATTACACCTGCTCTTATGTAATAAAACAATTTGTATGTAATGAGGACAGTAAAAGACAGTTATCAGTGTTATACAACGAAATAATGTAACTTTCAGAGAAAAGATGAGCTGGCCTGGAAATCTGCAATGCAACAGCAGCATCAGATGTTGGAGCAGCAGGGACGGCAACAACACATGCATGGAGGGCCCGGGATGCCACCCAGCCATCAGGTTGACATAGAGAAGCAGAGAGAAGCACAGCAGAAAGTAAGTGTTTTGCTGTAACTGGGAATTTGTGTGCTGGTAGAGGGTAGAGGGCATGTTGTGGTCAGCTGCTTTCTTGTAGTAATATCATTGTGTTCTATAGAGTGTACGATGCATCAGCTCTCAGCTTTTCTTTTGTCTCTATCTCTCTCTCTCTCTTTATATATCTCCCTATCTCTCTCTCACACACACACACACACACAACACACACATCTTTTAACGGCATCTGTGTATGTATGTCTATGGGTATTTGTGAGTGTCTGAATAGTGGCTATGTGTTTGTATATGTGGGTATGAATGCACATATGTGTAAGTATGTATTTGTATGTGTAAGAGTTTATATGTATTTATCAGTGTGCAGGTTTGTCTGTATATTTATAAATGTTTGAGTGTGTTGTGTGTATGAATTTATTTATTTGCATGAATGAAAACATGTGTTTTTGTGTGTATAGTGTTTGTATTTGTTATATGTGTGATGTATATTTGTGCATGTATTTAAACATATATGAGTGTGCTCTTTTGTATGTATGTGAGTGTTTGATATGATTGTGTATTTGAATGTATGCATTCACCATCCATGTTTTTGTGTATTTGACATGATACTCATTGTGTATATTGTTATGTGAACATAATATGCTTTACAGTTAGAATACAATTGCGGTGTGAATTACGCATGTTTGGAAAGGCTGAATATAAGACAGATCTGCAGACCAAATTTATAAACCCATTAAAAATTAAGTTTGTTAATTCATCGGTCTGTTTCTCTCTCTCTCTCTCTCTCTCTCTCTCTCTCTCTCTCTCTCTCTCTCTCTCTCTCTCTCTCTCTCTCTCTCTCTCTCACTCTCTCACTCACTCACTCACATTAAGTAAGGCAATGGCACTATTAATTTATGGCTGGAGAGAGAAGAAATGGCTGGAGCTGCAGAAAATAATAAATGAAAGAAAGGCTTAGCATGAGTTGGTTGATGGCTTCTGTTTCATTCAGGGGAAAACATGCAGAAGAAGAACGATTTTGTTGTTGTAGGCTGGTCATTAATGTATGGTGACAGATATCAGAACAAATATTAAGACATACTTGCTTGGGCATTGTGTGAATACAGTTGATATGTTTACAGTCTTCTTCTCCGCGTTCACCGACTGTAAACTGCTGCGGAAAGATCTGATTGGTTGTTTGTCCACCTCTGGACTTCAGTCTTTGTTCCAGGACCTGAGTATAGCATGCACATCCGTTTAACAGATCTGACTTAATTGTACACAGACTGTTGGTTCCTTGCCTAAGGCAGATGCACTTCAAAGGATGCCCCCAGTTAGTTGACTCTTACGACCTGCTTGTTGGGTAGGTAGTGAGTCTCTTCTTGTTTGCCCTAGACCTCACCCTGAGAATGTTTATATTAATTTTTGCGGGTATATTTAAAAAAAACCAACTGTAATTCGATATTAAATTCACAAAATATATTGTAAGTAATAGCAAGAGAAAAGAACTGGGTATTGATGCTTTCATTGCCGTAGCCGGGTAGGGTCTCTATGCCTAAGGAGTTAAGCTATTTGTCTCATGCTCTGAAGGTCATATGTTCCTTTCACAGACTCTGCCATTCAGTTCACATGTGCAGTTTCTATGGAGATTCCTGGGGATAGTCACTGTTTTATCTCCGTGTCAGTCCTGGGGCCCTGTTGTGGGGAAAACAAGAATAGACACACTGCCATCACAACAAGCATGTCATAAGATTTGACTAATTGGGAGCTTCCTTCAAAGTCGGATTGCATCTGCCCGAGAGGCAAGGAACCAGATTTGCATACAAAAAAATTAGATCAGGTAAACGGATGTGGATGAGCAACAAGAACTTTCCACGGAAGTTTACATCCGGTGAACGCAAAGAAGAAGAATGCACTGTTTTGTGCAGTGCTCACAGCAGGTTGCTAGCTGTTTTGAGTAAGGTGACCAAGCTGTAAGGAATCAAACCTGATGCAATGAAATTGTTCCTCTCAACTTTAAACCTATGCTCTGCCACCCACTGTTGGTTTATGGATTGCTGTTTCCTGATGTATCTTTATTGTGTCTTATTTTGAAGTTGATGGAGCAGCAGCAGTTGGCATTACTGGAGGCCCAGAGAGGAGAGCAACATCAGAGAATGATGCCCCCTGGTCAAGGTAAGCTGTCAGTAGTCCCATGTGAAATATTTGTGTGTGGGCGTCCAGATGTGTAGTTGAAGTTCTACACCCATGCAGGACAACAGGCTACTTTTTGTTGCCCTAGAGTGCCCTAGTATGACCTACGAGGGGAAGTCATTAGGTATGGAACTGCATGTAACAGTGTCCAGAAAAAATTTTTTTTCAGGACACAGAAAGGCCCCTTTGCAACACCCATAGTATATGTCGTATCAATTTATCAGAATGTGCATGCAAAACAGCTCGTACAGGATGGCCGCAACACTGTTAACATGTAGCACGAAAGAGCAACGAGATGTTTTTCAGTTTTTTTTTAATGGGCAGAGGGTGTTAAACCATCTGAATCTATCAAAAAATGAAGGTTAAATACAGAGACAGCAAACAGCTCAGACTTGGCGCCATTGGATGTTCATTTCTTTGGCCCATTGACAGAACATTTGCATATGTCAGTGGTGCAAACTTGGCTACTGGCCACATCCAAAAGCTTCTTTCTACCTGGTCGGCATCTACAATCTTGTGGATTGGTAGATTACAAGAGTTGCAAGGCAGGAAGACTGTGTCAAGAAATAAGATAAAGAACAATTTTGTTCCGCCCGCTTGTAAAAAAAAAAAAAAAAAAATTAAATGCCATTGCCTTACTTAATGACTTTCCCTTGTATTTTATAGACTTGAACGGTGTGTTTTGGGGTTTGTGCCTGTAGGATTGTCATCCAGAAAGGGGATTTTCCAGTCACTTCGTGTCAAAAGGCCGCAGTTCTGAAGGCGAATACTGACAAACTGATTGGTTGATATATCAAGTGCTGGAGGTCTCGGGTTCAGGCCCCAGTGAATGCTGGGATTTTTTCACGTGGACTTCTAGTAATTTCCCCTGGTCTCTGGCTAGTAATGTTGAAAGCCCATTTGTGTTGTGCATGTAAAACATCCCTTGCCAGTTGGAATAGAAAAGACTAGCCTAACAGCATTACCGGGGCAAAATTTGGAGTTTAAAATCTACCCAAAGTAGTTTAGGATCCTCGCTGTGCTACAGAGTTTGTGCACTGTGCTGAGATTCTTCGGGCTCAGGCTTGAGTAAAGGCAGATCGGAGCACTTGTGTGTTACTACCCTTGTGCCTTGATGTTGATCCTTTGTTCAAACTAAACCAAACCAAAGATCTAGAAATGTGGCCATAGAAAGTCCTTGAATTAAAATTATGTGTTTACAAGAAGGATGTCTATCTGTAGTACAGGTATAGTAAATTGTACAGTTGGCTTAGTTTGGTTCCACATGAGACACACTTCACCAACCTTAATTCTGCATTTAAAGTACATATTTAATATTTTGTATATGCAGTACAAAGGCAGAGTTTTAACTTTTTTGGTAACAAGAAACACAGCATTCATTTTTTTATAGCTAATTTAACTCTTTCAGTCCCAAGCAATGCCTGATGTTTGAATGGATTTATCCCTGTAATCATCTACATAGCCAAGATTTTTCTGTTACTTCTAACATTTGGTTAGAAAATAATGGAGAAATGTGGCTACCCCAGTTGTCATTGCAACTGTTTACACTGCCACTTTGAAAACGACGCAGTGACAGTTTTACATCTTGGTTCTTTCTTCACCTTGGTATCTCATATGAAAGAGTTAACTGTCCTCTGGACCTTCCAATCATCCAGTTAACTATCAGTAAAAAAAAAGAACAATTTATGTGCTGTCTCCATAGTAAAGGTTAACTGCGGTGGGCCCTTAATCTCTTCCACGGTGCGACTCTTGTACTACTGTATGAAAACTATTAATTATCCATGAAATATTGTTACAGTTGAGGCTGTTCTGTTTTACAGGTCAGGCTATGAACCCTTCAGGAGTGCCGCCCGCTGGACCCATCAGAGGTGCAGGGCCCATGCAGCCACAGCCTGGTCAAGGCATGAGACCCCCTGGAATGGGGAGACCTGGAAATATGGGCGGCCCACCGCCCCCTCAAATGATGGGCGGAGGAGGTAAGTCTGAGACTTGTAGACTTCAATGTTACCAGATGCACAGAACAGCTTTTATTTAACATCTCAGATAATTTACTCAGATTGGATGTTGTATACAGAAATGTGTACAAAAGCTGGCCAACAGCTGAAATATAGTACAGGCAGGGGAACCTGTTATGCAGTACCCTGAGGGGGGAGGGGGGTTACCTGTGAGAAAAAAATTGGCAGAATTAAAGGAACCTGGTAAAGTGGAGCATAGCCAAAACACAATTCATTATGAGAATGGAAGTGGAGGCAGTGACCTCTGTTCTGAGATGGCTTTTTCGCTGTACTCTTGAAATAGCATTCATCATAAACTGACTCTCTACCAAAGATGTACCTTAGCTTAGAAGACCCTTGAATTTAAACACTGTTTAAAAAATGCATCTGTGAGAACCCTTCTTCACAATGAAGTTTTTACAGCAATGGAACTTTCTGTCTCCTATTCTATTACCATAATGTGTATTCTTTATTACATCCATAACATGCATTATTGATAACAGGCATTGGTACTCTGAAAAATGGGTGATTAGAAGGGCTGAATGTCAGACGGGCCTGAGTGTCCGATTTGGAACCCTTAAAAAAAGTTTGTTCGTTTGCTCGTTTTTACCACACTTGGACAGTATCGTTGGTCCATTTATTGTTAACCTTCCATTTGTGTTGCTATCTACATCTAGCAGTTGATTAATTATTTGATATAATATTCCTGCTTGCATTTCTGCTTGTACGCTTTATTTTACAAAATAATATCTCCTGACTATTTCATTGGGATTGTTTTTCCCTTTTCGGCACCGGTTGCAGAATCTGTTGGGTCTGGAGTAGCTAATGTGGCCATTTGATATGTGTAGTCCGCTTGTGGATTCAGGGGGGTGGGGGGGGCATTTTAGGGAAACAAAAATAGACCCACTGCCTCTTTACAAGCATGTCATAGATTCGACCCTTTCAGGGTTTGCTGAAATTGGAGGCTATGTTGGACTAAAAGGCATATATATCGCTGTTTAGCTGTAAGCCACAACACAGCGTGCCAGTCGCCCTTTCAGGGTCGAAATCAGAAATAAAAGGTTTATATGAAAACTCAATGGGGAAAGTTCTGCATCAATCAGGAAGGGATTCCTTACATTAATTCAGTTAGAGCTAACGATGAGCATTTTTTGTTTGAAAATGTATGGAAATAGTTGAAATATTTTTTAATTTTATGTTTCAGGTCCACAGGGTCAGATGCATGGTCCACCATCAATGATGCAAGGTGGGCACCCACAGATGTCACAAGGTGGACCAATGTCACACGGTGGGCACCCACAGATGTCACAAGGAGGCCCCCCACAGATGTCACAAGGAGGTCCCCCACAAATGTCACACGGTGGACCCCAGATGTCACACGGCGGACCCCAAATGCCACACGGTGTTCCTCCACCAATGTCACACGGTGGCCCGCCACATATGTCACACGGAGGACCCCAACAAATGTCACACGGTGGGCCTCCACACATGTCACATGGTGGACCCCCACACATGTCCCATGGTGGACCACAACAGATGCAGCAGCATGGGGGCCCGCCACAAATGCAACATGGGGGCCCACCACAAATGCAACATGGTGGCCCGCCACAAATGCAGCATGGAGGCCCACCACAAATGCAGCATGGTGGCCCGCCGCATATGCAGCATGGTGGACCTCCACAAATGCAGCATGGTGGACCTCCACAAATGATGATGCAAGGCGGTCCTCCAGGGAATATGGGAGACAGACAATCAGGTGCACCTCCTCAGATGCCTTCAGACATGGGGGAAAGACCCCCCATGTCTCAGGGAGGCCCCATGATGAATTCACAAGGGGGCCCACCACAGAGAATGCCCCAGGGCATGCGTCCTGGTATGCCAAACAAAGAAATGGGCCCTCGAGGAGCTGGCGACGGTTTAGGTCCCTCTGCTGATGGAGGGGGCCCTCAAGGTTCGGGTGATGGCCCAGGGCCAAGAGTTTCCAGAGCCCCATATAATGGTCCTAGCACACCAGTTGGTCCACGAGATGCAAAACCCAGTGTAAGTATTTATGACTTGTTTATGCACATTTCATAACACCAAAAATCTTAATGTGTTTGCCTTATCATCACTATGATACAGCACAGCTGCTATAATTTAATACATTTGTTGTAACTAGTAGACTTTTGGTTCAGTATGGCAGCCACCATGAGACAGTACTGCCACTAATGTAATACATTCCCTGAGACAGTGTACAGCCTTTGTCATACTCTGTTGTCACTGTAAGACAAGACAATGCAGCCACTATATGGTTTGACTGCATTTTTTATTTCCAGTCCCTGAATGATGTTTCTCAGTGTCCGAGAAAGTATTATATCATTTTTTTTCCTCACACTATCAGTCGCCTTTAAATAATAACATTTTGAATGCTTTTTATGAGATGTTTTTGACATATTTGACTCGACTCTTTTATAGATCTTAAGTAACTCATCTTAACTTAAGTAACCTCTACTGAGTAAAGCACAATTCGGTTTCAGGAAAGGGCGAGGTTGCACTGATGCCATATTTGCACTAAGACAAGTCTGTGAAAAGACACTCGAATACGATAAAGAGCTGAACGTGGTCTTTGTAGATCAAGAGAAGGCATTCGACCGTGTAGACAGAGATGTGCTGTGGAGAATTCTTGACGATTACGGAGTGCAGGGTCAATTATTAGACAACATCAGAGCCCTCTATGAAAAAAGTGAAAGTGCAGTAAGAACATCTAGTGGTCTTTCTGAATGGTTCAAAGTCACAACTGGTGTCAGGCAAGGATGTGTACTGTCACCATTACTTTTCATAACATACATGGATAAGATCACTGTAGAAGCAAACCCAGACGTGTATGCTATAAACGAATTACTTTTTGCTGATGATCAAAGCATACTGTATCAAAATGAATATGATCTACAGGAACATCTGACTACTCTCAACAACAGCTGTTTACAACATAATATGAGAATCAGTACAGAAAAAACAGAAGTTATGAAGATCAGCAGAACACACAGGCCACTGAATATAAATGTTGGAAGTGCCAAAATCAAGCAAACCAAAGAGTTCAAATACTTGGGCAGTATATTTACAGAGGATGGAAGAATGGACAGAGAGATAGAAACAAGAATACAGAAAGCAAATGCTGTCACATACCAACTATCACCTCTGCTTAAACATCCAGATATAACCATGAAGACCAAAAGACAATTGATAAACACCATCTTCATTCCAACACTCTGCTACCAGTGCCAGACATGGACAATCAACAAGACCCATGAAAGAAAAATAGAAGTCTGTGAAATGAAATGTCTAAGAAAAGCAGCGAATAAGACCAGACTAGACAGGATAAAGAATATAGACATTAGAAACACTGTCAAAACTACACCATGTTTAGACTACATAGAACATCAAAGAATGAAATGGTTTGGACATCTAACCAGGATGAAAAATGATCAAATAACATCACAAATTTTCAACCAAAGAAGCTCAGGATATAAGGCAAGAGGAAGACCAAGGAAACGGTGGATTGACGGGGTCTCCGAAACCTGCCAAAAGCATGGCCTCAGAACATCAGATGCTGCCCGCCTTGCTTATGACAGGAACTTGCATCTCCCCACAACGCTTAGCGGCATACGTGGAAGGAAAAAGTAAAGTAAAGTAAAGTAACTCATCAATTGTACAAGAGCTTTAGTTCTGGAATGTAAACTGTTCATTGTTTCAGATCCTCCCTTCACCTCAGCATGTCAGAGAGGGGCCGAAGGAAATGAAATTGCCGCAAGCCTTGGAGAAAATGTTGGAGTTTAAATCACAGAGAGCTCACGAGATTGGAATTGATCTTGATAATTTGGAGAATAAGGACAGTAAGTTTTAAACTCTTTCCACCTCAAATGTGTGTTACCTTGACTTATTTTAATGTAAATTTGGCCCATATCTTATAAATAACTGCTGCTCTTTGACTTATTGGTTGTTGCATGCATTCAACAGTTTCATAATCCTTGAGTATTAGAGTTTGATTTCTGCCGGTGGACATTAAAAAAAAAACCACCTTTCTAGGGGTTTTAGGACAGTGGTATATAATTCGCAACATGAAGGAGATTGGGGCTTTGCCACATAAAATATTCTTGCAGACAACAGTGAGTGCGCCATGACCAAGCTTCACTGAGGAGACAGCACAGGCATTAAAGAAAACTATGTGCTTTCTTAATATCCTACCCCAAACAGGAAATCCACAGGTCACAGGGCAGTCGTGGGATGTAGGTGGGTTGGGGTTAGGGCAAGTTCTAGATGTTTTGGGGGTCATTAAAAACATCAGAAAGCCGGGAAACCCAGTCTTACCACCCTCTAAAATCTTGGACTGTCCTGTGACATCATCTGGGGTAGGATATTATTTAAAAAAAAACAACTATAATAATTAATGTCTTAGAACATGGTAGTTCAACAGTTCGTGATTTGCTTATTTATGTGCAGCTCATATTTTATTTTGATTGGCTCCCAGCCTAAAATGGGTATCAGGTAATATCCTGGGAAGTAAAAGCAGTCAGCATGATGTTGACCACATCAATCACTAGGTGCTTTATGTCATTATTATTATCTCTCTATACACCATGTTTTCCTTTTTATTACAAGTACCAGGTCTACTTGAGTCTAGAATTGAACCCTGACATCTGTCTTGGTGAGCAAGCAGATTACCAGATTTCTGTGACTTGTGTAAGCGCTCTTTTATTTGTGATCTTGTGTTTTCCCCAGCTGACAAGGAAAATGGAGAGGATGCACATGATACCAAAGTTGATGATGAGGACAAATACGAAGAGAATGAAGATGACGAGGAAGAGGCTGATGTGAAATCTGACTCGAAGCTTCAGTCAAAAGAGGTATGTTCATTTTATATAATGGTTAGTGAGAAAAACAACAGAAATGAGGATATCAGGAATGAAGTCGGGACGGAGCCAGTACTAAACCTCATAAAGAGACAAAAGATCAAATGGTGTGGACGTGTGTCAAGATTACCACCAAATAGTGCACCACGGAGTGCCCTGTCACTTAATCACTTTGCCCCTGGCACTGTCAGTGTGGGGATTGTTCCATGGTTATTTTGAAAGTGGACAGGACATATATGGGAATGTCACAAATGCAGTAATATCAGTCCTTGATTGATTCATTATTCACTTAAGTTTTTAAAAATTTTAATAAGAACTGAACTTGCAGATTTGTTTTACACATTAATTTTTACTGTGATTTTAAATTTCAGACCAAGAATAAACGCAGAAAGAAAAAGAAGAAGAAGGCTAGGAAAAATAGGTTCGAACTGCAGAAAAAAACAAAGAAGAGGGAGAAAGAGAAAAAGACCAAGGCGCCCGAGATTCAAGTTGAGTAAGTATTTTTTGTACATTGCTTGTTTACATTCTTCTTCTTTTTCTTCTTCTTCAAGTTCACTGGCTTTAAACACTGGTTGAAAGTTCTGGTTTGTTGTTTTATTTTAGTATTTGTTACCTTGAAATTATTTTTATGTTAGTGTTTGCTACCTTGAAACTATCTTTATTCTATGTGTGCTACCTTAAAACTATCTTTATTTTAGTTTTTGCTACCTTAAAATTATCTTTCTTTTAGTATTAGTTAGTTAGTTAGTCTTTCCTCTTGTGTCGAGTGCGGCACATAGGGCAGAGGTCATGACTCTCCATGCATGGCGGTTCGTTGCAATCTGTTGTAGGTCTTGGATGTTTGAGTGGCCCATGTGTGAGCCTTCCCTGATGATAGCTCTACGTAGGGTTTCCCTTGGTCTTCCACGAGATCTTTTCCCCTGTGGTGTCCAAATGAGGGCTTGGTAAGGAAGTCTTGATTTATCCATTCTAAGGGCGTGGCCGACATAGTTCCAGCAGCGTTTTCGTATAAAATTAGACACATACTTTGCCTGGATTCTTGCCTTATTTGTGTATTAGTTTGGAAATCTGACCATTTGAAATTTAGTATTCTTCTAAGGCATTTATTTTCAAAACTGTCTAATTTTGTGTCTAGAGTTTTCGTTGATTTCCAGCTCTCGCATCCATAGGTTAGTACTGGAATCACACAAGAATTTTAGTATTTGCTACCTTAAAATTTTTTTTTTAAAGTATTCGCTACCTTGAAACAATCTTCATTTTAGTATTTTCTACTTTGAAATTACCTTTATTTTGATATTTGTTACTTTGAAATTATCTTTACCCTCAGATATGTCCAAGAACAGCTGGAGCTAGACCCAAATGATATGAACTACCATACATTTGCAAAAATATTTGAAGCATTTAAGGTATGCACATGATTTTTTGTTTCCTTTTTTTTAATTTTTAAAGTTGTTATAAATATAAATTATTTAGTGTTCATTTTCATGATCATTTCCTTAGAGCTGAGCTATTCAACTGATGGCCCATAGGCTAAATCAGGCCTAGCAAGTGGCCCGTGTATCACCTGCCACTTGTATTTTATTTATGATTGTTCTATGCTGGGGCCCGGGCCTGTGGCCTATGATCATCCCCCCATTGTCCAACATGTTGGCTCTGAGTAAATTTAGCCTTAAAGGGTGGATTTTTCTTGAATGTGAAAATAATCCGTAATATTAAACTTCAAGAGGTCAAGCACTTTAATGGGCCAGTGAACTAGGTTAAAAATGGTAGAATGTTAACACAAAATAGTGAGCTGTATCTCCACTATAAAGTTTTGTTAAATGCACCTACTGCTTTCTTAGGGCGTGTTGAACGTTAGGGACCCTGTTTTCAGCAAGGTTGATATAGCATTATATATTTAGTCGCAGTAATTTATTTTACAGCTTAATTAAAAAATGTGTATGTATTTGTCAAAGTTTCTTTATTTATTCTGTGGACTATTTCATTGAGGTTTTCCTCTGTGTTTACTTACTCAGGGGGTGGCAAGCTGAACGATTAAGAACAAAAGCCTCTCATGTGGGGCACCTGGGTTTGATTCCACCATATTGTTGGGGATTTTTTTAAAGTCGGGGTCAAAAATGGAATTTTAACCCTCATAGTCTAGCAGTAGCATTAGTCAGTCTCAAACCCCCTCCCTCCCTCCCTAAAGTGGTAAATAAAAGCAGTTTTTTAGTAATGGCAATTGATTACTTATTTTTATTACATTCTTTTGCCAAGAGAGTATGTGTTGAATTCAAAGCAGGAGCTGGATAATTTTAGTGCACATTATTACCAAGGCAGTGGTGTTCAGTCTCCAGACAGATCAAGAATTCTCTTCCCAAGTACGGCTCTGTGGTTGACCCTACCTCATAACATTGGTACTGGCTTTGGAGAATCTCATGGTCGCTCTGCATCCTCATGTCAAAAGAGATACGGTGTGAATGTTCAAATACTTGACACCCCAACATCAGCGCCCGCCATAGCCATGACTGCCTTTATTATTTTACGAAGAAAACAAAGTGCTTGTGTTGATTTGACATAATATTAAGCTTTCTGTTGGTGTTTTCATGCAGATTACAGAACCAGAGAAACCCAAGGAGGTAAAAGCAGAGCCTAAGGAAGAAAAGAAAGATGATGTTCCTATCAAAGCTAAAGGTCTCATTGATGATGATGAAGATGATGAAGTAAGTGTTTTGAGATGATAAAAATATGTATGTAATGCTTGCTGTAGTTACTGTCATAGTTGAACTGTTACAACTTCTGGTTACTTCTTCAGCATAAAGAAACCAACAGCTGCCTTGTTTTTGTTATTTCCATTACCTGTCCTCAACCCTCCTGCCCCAGGCACCATGAACCCATGGGCATTTTTACACAACAAAACCTTTTACACAGTTCACTAATTAATTTAACTTGTTTCTTTCTCTTCTGGAGATAACAAAAACAGTGCATGTGCAGTTCAGTGAGAAAATGTATGTGACAACTTCCAGCTGACATTCCAACCTGTGAGGTTATTCTCTTGAGACTAAGTCTTCTATCATCATTAACAGTGTTCTAAACATGCTTAGTGTTTCTGTTTATCACAGTAGGTGGTTGCCCACTGTGTTTATCATTATCAACACTAACACACTCTTAGCGGAAGTGCTTGTGAGAGACTAAGTCTTCTATCATCATTAACAGTGTTCTAAACATGCTTAGTGTTTCTGTTTATCACAGTAGGTGGTTGCCCACTGTGTTTATCATTATCAACACTAACACACTCTTAGCGGAAGTGCTTGTGAGAGACTAAGTCTTCTATCTTCATTAACAGTGTTCTAAACATGCTTAGTGTTTCTGTTTATCACAGTAGGTGGTTGCCCACTGTGTTTATCTAATCAACACTAACACACTCTTAGCGGAAGTGCTTGTGCCACTCAGAAGCTTGTGATTTCTTCATTGTGGTAATAGCGTGTGCTTTATTAAGTCTCTGAGGGTGACTTCTAAGTGCAGGTTTTTAAAAAATAGGGTATTATCAACATACCCTCGTGCCCGTGCGCAAACGCAAACCAGCTGACACAGTAATAATTCGTAAAAATTGTAAAAACAGAACCTCTAAGGCAGGGGTTCTCAACCTTCCTAATGCCGCAACCCTTTGATACAGTTTCTCATTTTGTGCTGACCCCTAACCATACAGTTATTTTTGTTGCTACTTCATAACTTCAGTGAATATGTGTTTTCTGATGGTCTTAGGTGACCCCTGTGAAAGGGTCGTTTGACCCAGAATAGGGTCAGGACCCACAGGTTGAGAACCGCTGCTCTAAGTTCATAACTAGTGGCCTGTCATGTTACCCTTTAATTTCATATATATATATATATATATATATATATATATATATATATATATATATATATATATATATATATATATATATATATATATATATATATATATATATATATATATATATATATATATATATATATACACACACACACACACATATATATGTATATGTATCTGCATTAAGGGTCCATACCTGTTTTATAAATGTTGGCACTTCAGCACAAGAACAGACAAGGATATGCAGCAGAGTACTACTTCATTGTCACTGCTGCCTTTGTCTATTTAAATTCAGTGTTGAGGAAGCAGTGAATTAAGAATTAATCGCACATTGATTACTCATGATGTTAGTTGTCTGCAGTGTCCATAACAACAGGCAGTTGACCTATCAAATCCATAAAAATGTCAAGCATAAATAATAGCCCTGTTCAATGAGTATACCTTTTCTTCTTCCTTTCTCTATTGCTGGAATGCTTCACGGTGTCAGGGCAGAAAGAGATCTTTGGAACAGGTCCTTCTGTTCACTTCACATAAAATACTTTTTTTAGTGTCACTGATATTTCTGTGGCCCATCTTCTGCGTGGTCAGCCTCGGGATCTGTTACCTCTATATTTGTATAACACTGCTTTTTGTGGTGCCATGCCCTGATGTTTCATGGCCAAACCATTTCATTTGTTGTCTACCTATAAAGTTCAGGATTGGTTCTTAGCTGACTATTCTACTGATAGCATCATTCCTAAATTTATCTTTCCTCATTACACCCAGCATGTACATAAACATTAAATTTTTCCTTTACTGTTTTCCTTCTATCGTCTGACGACAGTGTGCATGTTTGAAATTGATAGCATAGCATTGGTAAGAATATTGTGTTGAACAGTGTTCTTTTAGTGTCCATATTCACATGCTTGCATTTCACAATTGGTGCCATTTGGCCCAAAACTAGATTGTTTTTATTGCATCTTTGTTGGATTTCTTCATTAATTATTGTAGCAATTAGCAATTCTGAAAAATTCTGATGTCAGCAGTTTTGCCAGTTTTGAAAAAACTCAGTTTGCAATGAGACTAGCTACTACACTACTGTGGCAGTTCTTATGTGTTAGCATAGACGGTTGAAGTCTATAGTCTTCATTGTTGAATTCTTCATCTTCTTCACTTCCTCTTCTACATTTTCAGGTGATCTAGGGAAATATAAGGTTCTGCATCTTGCTTTTCTGACCACCTTGACCATAGACACATCATGCTGTTGTAAATTTCTTTAATGTTGTCTTCCCATATGGATATTAGTCTACCTCACGATGTATGTCTTTATCCTTATCTGGTTATTTTTTTTTGGGTATGGCATCACATTCCTTGTGGTATGATGTTATTGCCTTGTGGTATGGCATCACACGCCTTGTGGTATGATGTTATTGCCTTGTGGTATGATGTTATTGCCTTGTGGTATGATGTTATTGCCTTGTGGTATGGCATCACACGCCTTGTATGACATCACACGCCTTGTGGGTTGGCAGCACATGTCTTGATATTGATTCCAGGTTGTGGTCCAAGAAAAAATACTTTTTCTTCTGATACCAGCTGCCCCAGTATGTGTCCTTACTGTTTGTATTTCATCAGATATTGAAACTTCCAGTCTATTATGGAGGACTAGGCATAGTAGAATGTTAAGCTTCAAAGTTATTTTTGCTTTTGACATCGCTTTGCTAATGCAGTTTCCACATATGGACAGAGGTCTACGGTTTCGCTGCCTGAGCTACTGAGTTAGTGCTTAATGCAGCACTGTGAGCTGTATTTTTCATGTGGAATATCTTTCATTTCTGCAGCGACTGAGTTTTGGTATTCAGTATGGCCGGTAACCGGTTTACATGGGGACTGGTGAAATACCTTATATAATAATTTTACGTAGATGTAACCAACTTATCGGTCCAGCTACTTCCATCAACGACAAACTGCATTTCTGGAGGTGAATATTGGCTTTGGCACCTCTAGCAACTGCTATGTGCATTTACTGCTTGCACATATTTCTGAATTGTGCTGGGACTTATAGTTTGTTCACCAGTTTTTCAAATAGGACAGTGAGGGAAATTCTATTTGATTTTAACTGGCACAGGGACACAGCGAGTATAGGGTGACCCGATTCCAGTGAAGATGAAACTTTAACTAAGACTAAGATTATACTCAATGAACCAGCTTCTAAAGTGGTGGGTTTCTGTGGTGAGTGCCACACAAAGGACTTTCTAGTTATATATACTGTTATCGTTTTCTTCTTCGTGTGTGAGCTTTCCAGCATCAACATCTTTGTCCCACCTCTTGATTCACTGGAGTTTCTCTAGTTCTCTCCCTAATATCCACATGACTGATTCTGTTGTCCCATTGAGTCCATCTGTTCTGCACTGGACATGGTCATGAATGTTTATGGTTAATTGATAATTAGTTCCCCATGCTTCTGATTCCTTCAGCACTGTTGGTTTCATATTATATTTTTGTGGGTTAGATTATTGTAAATGGTTTATGGTAAATGAGATGTATTTTATTGATGATTTCAGCTGGTGACAAGACCAGATGTTGTAGAGATGCATGATGTCACAGCCAGAGACCCTAGGTTGTTGGTACATCTGAAGGTAGGCCTTTTGCCCCTTTTGTGAGCTTGTGAATTAGTTTGTTGACAAAACTGTCATGACTTTTTGTGAGAGGAGGGGTAAAGCATTAGTGGGAAGTTCTGACACACTGATCCTACAGCCTCCATCTGTTGCCACCTGACTTTTGTTTACCCCATATGGGTTTTGTAGATGGGGTGGGGGCTACTGCCTCCCTAAACATGTGGAAAATGATGATTATTAAAGGTTTTGTAAAAATCAGATATATAAGGGCAAAAGGCACATATATCGCAGCCTACCTGTAAACCACAACATAATGTACCAACCACCCTTTTATGGGTGACTGCAGAAGAGGATTTTTTCCCACCATGGACCCTTAATTAAAAGAAGCTGTCAAGGAATAATTCTTTGCCGATGCAGACATCATGACAGCTTGCACCACATGGTTCAGTGAGTAACTAAAGACTTTCACACATGGTATCTGACTGACATCTCCCTTAAGCAGTGCAACTTTTCTGACAATCCCACTTGCATGCTTGCTTCTTAACTGTTGCTTATTAAATTTAGCCACAACTGCCAGTATAGTTTTCATTTGTTTGTAATCAAGCCAGTGGAGCAGGTTGTGTTTGATTAAGTCTGGGATGCATAGATGCTGAACCACATGTAGTGGGGCACCAAGGCCAAGGCTCAAACTGGTCAACACCTGCCTAAACCTCCCACTGGTCATTCTAGCAACAGGTTCTCATCTAGGAGCCAGGCCAGTGTGGAAAGCATCTTTCCAAGTCGGAGCATCTGCATCAGAAGCAAGGAACCAATAGTCTGCACACATAAAAAGCCAGATATGTAAAATGGATGTGCACGCAACACTCAGGTCGTGGAACAAAACTAAAGTCCAGAAGTGGCCAATAACTCAGACCTTCTGCTGGAGTTTACAGCTGGCAAGTGTGAAGAAGAAAGAAGTTTGATTTATCACATAATTGATGCCTCTTGTCTCTTTCCTCAGCATCTGCTGTGAAATCCTTTAGGGCCGATTGTAAATGTATGATTTAAAACCAGTTTTTGGAGACGAAAAAAGCAAAATATATGTATGTCTTTATACAGGCTGCACGAAACTCAGTTCCTGTTCCAAGACATTGGTGTTATAAACGCAAATACCTTCAAGGCAAAAGGGGTATTGAGAAGCCTCCTTTTGAGTTGCCTGACTTTATTAAAGCAACAGGCATCGAAGAAATGAGAGCCGCACTACAGGAGAAGGTCAGTGATTGGATAATCATTGGAATAGGGCAGATGAAACATAACACTTTGTGAGATGTTTTTGTTTTAAATTGTTTTGTTTTTTAAATTTAAGCTATATTAACAGGCTAAGAGAGCTCTGCTGGCACTAAGTAATTTGTAAAAAAAAAGTTTATCTGCCACCCAACTTAAAATATTTAACACTAAATCAGTGCTGCTGTATGGAATTGGAGCATGGAGTTGAGTCAAGAGTTGACATCTCAGCACTCGGGGCATTTCTATGTGTGCTCCGTCCTCATCTTCAGCAGCCAGCGCAGAGTTCCAATACTGATGGTACCGGTCACAATCTGGTTATATCTCTGTCTTGCCTTTCTTCTGAGTGTAGTCAGCCGACCAGACCCTCTAGTTACACCCAGGTGCCTCATTCTCTCAAGGCCATAATAATCTTGTTTCTCTACTGATTCTGTTGCTTGTTCCCAAAGGGCCTTAACCACATCTGCCTTGTCATGTATCGATTCACCACCCAGTGGTGTAGATCCAGCCAACTGTCTGCCTCTTCATTACCCACTACACGGGCATGGACTGGAGAAAAGATCTGCTTACTACCCGTGACCTTCCCAGTGAAGCTTGCCACTCTGCTTTAAGCATTGGAACATTGAGAGCAGCACAGACATTATCGGTAAACTGTAGAAATTCATTAATTGGTGCCTGTACAGAATAGGACTAAAGTGCTATGTTAAAAACACCAATTTGGATCTAATTAAGAGAACATGTAAATTTTTGTGAGTCAGGAAAAAAGAGGCTGCTTGGGACACATTGAAAAGATCTGTTAATAGTATAGCTAGAAAGTTATTCCTTAGGAAACCAAATGGGTAAAAGAGATAAAAAGAGAGTTCTCTTCTTCCCCCCACTCCTTTTTATAAAAGAGACGTAGACTAATGTTGGGAGATAACAAAGGGGGCTGCAAGAGGTAACAGAGGAGACTGCAGCAGGTAACAGAGGAGACTGCAAGAGGTAACAGAGGAGACTGCAGAGAGGTAACAGAGGAGGCTGCAAGAGGTAACAGAGGAGGCTGCAGGAGGTAATAACAAATGAGAGGGCTTGGATTCAGATTCTGTAATAATTCATATAATCTCATATTTGGGCTAGTTCTGAAATATGTGTTCATGGGTTAGAGTTCTAGCCTTTATTTCTAGAGCTGTAGAAACTCCAACATATGATCTTTGTTTGTCATCCTGTTTACTTTTCTTTTTTGTCCAAACAGGAAGACCAGAAGACATTGAAATCAAAGATGAGAGAAAAAGTTCGCCCAAAGATGGGGAAAATTGACATAGACTACCAGAAACTTCATGATGCTTTTTTCAGATTCCAAACAAAGCCCAAGATGACAATTCATGGGGACCTTTACTATGAAGCTAAAGAGTTTGAGACAAAACTGAGGGAGAAGAAGCCTGGCAATTTGAGCGATGATCTGAAACTGGCTTTGGGAATGCCTGTTGGGGCTGTAAGTATTTTTTGGTTGATTTCTTTATAATTGTGTTATTGTAATGAAGAGAGAGAATGTGATACTATTATTATCATTCTTCTTCTTCAGCTGTCTCTGGTCATGCACTGAATCTACTGTGAGTCATAAATCCACTGTGAGTCATAAATCCACTGTGAGTCATAAATCCACTGTGGGTTATAAACTGGGGTGCCATCTCAAGGTCTCTTATGTTTCTCCCAAAGCTTAATTGTCAGGTCTACTGGGCGCAGCCACATGTTGATTCTCAACTCCGCTAGCAGAGGACAGTCTTGCAAAGACAGGTTGTGGTGTCTGTTCAGCATGAAGACACTCACAGAGAGCTGTTTAGCTCCTACCTAATTTATGAGTGTTTGTTCAGTCTGCAGTATCCAGTGCGTAAGCGCATAGTTATTCATCCTCATAGTATTGAAGCTGTTGTATTAATCCTCATAGTTTTGATACTGTTGTAACCATTTCTCTCTTGGCCGAATTCCCCCCCCCCCCTCCCCCGCGCGCGCGATGTTTTCAGTGTCATTATTCTTTTCATCATCAAGTGCCTTGCCGGCTTGCATACATCTCCATTGATCTTAGTCTTGGTCTTCCGGACAATTCCACTGATGATATTCCTCCATACCTCTGTCTTATAGCCTCCACCATCATTTCTCTAGGTCTGCCTCTACCTCTTCTACCAGTGATCTTTCCAGTCATTACAATATTTTTCAGTGCTCCTTTTCTTATGACATGACCAAAGAACTTTGTCTTCTCATTGTTGTATATAATGTTCTACTTTCATTAGCCATTTCCAGGCAATCACTGTTAGTGATTCTGACAGTCCAAGGTATTTTAACATTCTTCTCAAGAACCACATCTCAGTTGCCTCCAAACTCTTCTTAATGTAATTGTTCTGGCCTTACAAAATATATATAACAGATAATTGTTTTCCATCAGTTGTTTGGGAAGGAAAGGCATTGTAGAAGGGAACTGTCTGCCCCCGCCATATTTTTCTTATGACTGAGAATATGTGAATGCTGAACACTTCACACCCAAACATTAGTACCTGCATGGCTCTACATTTACTTGTAGTATTATATACAGTGGTTGATTCAAACTTACTTTGGTTCCTTGTATATGTTCTCTCAAAACTTTCTTTTCCTTCTTATTCATCCACTTTGCAGCATCTTCGCCTTCTACCCCACTTCTCTCTCTCGTCTTGTTCTTCTTCTTTTTTTCTTCTCTTCTTCTTCTAACCTAAGCTTTGCAGTTATGAGTTAATACTTTAAAACAGACATCCTAGCATTGAGACATTTCCATAAGTGCTATGTTCCCGTCTTCAGCAGCAAGTGCAAAGTTTTAATTTCATTGGTACCCATAACCATCTGATCCTATGTCTATCTGGCCCCTTCCCTGAGCATTGGGCATCCACTAGATCCCTTGGTCACTCCACTCCTTGCTGCACCATTCTTTTCAGAGCATGATTTGTTTGTGCCTCGGCACTGTTCGCTCTTACCCTAAGGATTCTTGCAACATCTAGCTTGTCGTGCATCAGTTTACCTGTATAGGATTAGTCAGTGTTTATCCTTTACCTCCTGTCTTGCCTACTTGCAATTATTTCTGATGTAGATGTCACAAAGTCTAGCATTCTGGTCTTCTCTCTCTCTCTCTCTCTCTCTCTCTCTCTCTCTCTCTCTCTCTCTCTCTCTCTCTCCTCCCTCTTCTCTCTCTCTCCCCCTCTCTCTCTCTCTCTCCTCTCTGTTCTCTCTCTCTCTCTCTACCTATGTCTCTGCTTTCTCTCTTAGTGCCATATTAGCTCTCTCTCCCCCTTCAGTTGTATAAAGAGAAGGTACCACCACCATGGCTGATTGCCATGCAGAGATATGGGCCTCCACCCTCATACCCCAACCTGAAGATTCCAGGACTGAATGCACCGATTCCAGAGGTATGTCATTTGTCCACAGTCAGCTACAACCATACATAACATACTGTGTTTGATATATATTGTGTGTGTGTATATGCAAACACAAGAAAGAGTTAAAAAAATTATCTACACTTTCCGTGCTACAATTTATTTCCATGAAGCTAGCTTTTGACAGTGTACTTTGCCAAATGGTCAACAAGCTGACATATTGCTTCCAAATAAAAGGTTTTCGGTTGGCCATGAAGCCACTTTTACACCACATTTTGCACGAGTAAGCTTGTATTCTGCTGTCAGATTTCAGAGTACCCAGCATGCACAGACTTTATGAACGCTGAGCTCGCTGTGAATGATTTGATGGGCAGAGCCATGACTAAAGTTTTAACGCAGATGCCATCTCATTGGTGGTTATTCGCCAGAAGCATGTCCTCCCCTTTGCTCTGTGTCCATTATATTTTTTCAGCCTGGCTGTCTGTGGCATTCAGTACCAGAGTATTCTAATCTGATGGCCAAACCGTCTCATCTGTTGCTCTTTCATGAATTGTATAGACAGACAAACATAAGGAGGGCTTACATCTTCACATGCCAGATAGAGATAAAATATATGCGATGCAGTGTATGATGACAGAATGCACAGAGTTGTCAGTATGTAAGAAATTACTTGGTTATAGTTATTACAAATGAACTCGTGTGACCTTTTCTCCAGGGCTGTATGTTTGGTTATCATGCCGGCGGGTGGGGGAAGCCGCCAGTAGATGAGCACGGAAAACCCTTGTATGGTGACGTCTTTGGTACTCAAGGATCAGACTTCAAGGTCAGTTTTTCTATTTTGTTTTTCAATGAAATGTGTGAGGGCTGGTGACCTTATTTGAAGGAATTTGTTTTCATTTGTCAACTTTATAGTTTTATATTATAGTTGTGAAGCAGGTTTTGTAAACATCCCTAGTTAGCAGCTTGTAGGACATGCCCCTTGTTGGGGGGGGGGGGGCAGTGTCTCTATTCCCTCCCCTACACCTACATCACCCTTTCCCCAATGGGGCCCTAGAACCCATAGAGGGAAAACCAACCTAAATAAAAAGCGCTTAAAAGGAGTTACAAATGGGGAGGACAAAGAGGGGTCTGAAGGTAATAGTAAGGATGGGCCGGCTTGGTTTGCATTGTTTGAGGACTAATGTTTTGTGGGGGGAAAAGGTGGCAGAAGATGACAGTTAAGATGCTTATTTCTGAAATGTCTGTAAACATTTGCTGCAGATTTTGATTAAGCAGTTAGTATGTGTGTGTGTGTATATATATATAGGGAGAGAGAAAAAAAAAAGACACCGAGACAAAACCTGTATAGACAAATTAGTTTGATGCGACTAGGTGATGAGGCTGACCAAGAAAAGAAGGTGGTGGAGATAACATCCAGGCAGATCTACACACACTTGGAGCCACCAACTGGAAAGAAAAGGCCAGTCACAGAGATCAATAAAAAGGGTTGAATCTGCAGCACAGAACCTCAAGAGCCCATAATAAAGAAGATAATTTATTAGCTGAGCATTTTGACCTTCTGCTTGAAGAAAACGAATCACACCACAAATTTCGCAGCTGACGGGACAGGCAATTGCAGTGTTCATGTTTATGCATTTATGGTTTGTGAACCACTGACTTAATGCAACTAGGTTGGTGTGTAGTGAGCTATAAAGCTTTTGAATGATGCACGCAATGGCAAACGGTTTATTTTTACTAAATAATCAGAAGTTGATTTTTTAATAGCCCTTGTATGTTCTTTTATATTCGTACGTGTATTGAATTTGTCCGAGCAGCAAGGAACAATCAACTGCACACAAAAAAGCCGGTAAAAAAGGATGTATATACAAAACTCTTGCCCTGGCACAGAGCCAAAGTCCAAATGGATGAATTACCAGAACTTTCCGCCGGAGCACATAACCGGTAAACAAAGAAAAAACAAACATACTTTTGTGATGAAAATGTCAACTACAATTTTAAATTGATGGGGTTTAATTTGACTGTCTGCTGGAGCTGTGTCTTATCTGTTACCAGAATGAAGTTGAGGAGGAGGAAATAGACCAGAGCCAGTGGGGAGAGCTGGAATCTGAATCAGAGTCTGAGGAGGAATCTGAGGAATCCGAGGAGGAGGAGAAAGATGATACAGGCCTGATTACTCCTGCAGAAGGGTATGTGTGTTTTTTTTTTTCAATTTAGTCTGTGTTCAGTTGATGTTCTGACTGTCATCGAGGAGAGGTAGTGGTAAAACAACTAATGCAGTAGAGCTGAGATGGCTTGTGCAGGGGATAGAACCACTATTAATAATGGATAGTGCCATAATTATGCCGGATTGTGATCCATGGTTATAGTGGATAGAGCCATGTTTATAATGGATATTGCAGTTGATAGAGTCGTGGTTATAGTGAATATTGGGGGAGATAGAGCCATGGTTATAGTCAATATTGGCGGTATAGAGCCATGGTTGTAGTTAATATTGGGGGAGCTAGAGCTATGGTAATAGTTAATATTGGGGGAGATAAGAGCCATGGTTATAGTTAATATTTGGGGGAGATAAGAGCCATGGCTATAGTTAATATTGGGGGAGATAGAGCCATGGTTATAGTTAATATTGGGGGAGATAGAGCCATGGTTATAGTTAATATTGGGGGAGATAGAGCCATGGGTTATAGTTAATATTGGGGGAGATAGAGCCATGGTTATAGTTAATATTGGGGGAGATAGAGCCATGGTTATAGTTAATATTGGGGGAGATAGAGCCATGGTTATAGTTAATATTGGGGGAGATAGAGCCATGGTTATAGTTAATATTGGGGGAGATAGAGCCATGGTTATAGTTAATATTGGGGGAGATAGAGCCATGGTTATAGTTAATATTGGGGGAGATAGAGCCATGGGTTATTTAGACATTGTAGTGGATAGAGTTGTGGTTAGAGTGTAATGCTGAAGCATAGACCAGATATGGCCAGGATAGTGAAGAAAGAAAATTAGGTTATAAAAGGGATTGCAATTTACCAAATGTTTGTTTATTATTAAATATACATCCTCACATGAAGACATTGTCTCGTGTTTATCCATTAGTAAATCTACATCCTGCCATAAAGACATTGTCCCATGTTTATCCATTAGTAAATCTACATCCTGTCATAAAGACATTGTCCCATGTTTATCCATTAGTAAATCTACATCCTGTCATCATTAAGACATTGTCCCATGTTTATCCATTAGTAAATCTACATCCTGTCATTAAGACATTGTCCCATGTTTATCCATTAGTAAATCTACATCCTGTCATATAGACATTGTCCCATGTTTATCCATTAGTAAATCTATATCCTGTCATAAAGACATTGTCCCATGTTTATCCATTAGTAAATTTATATCCTGTCATAAAGACATTGTCCCATGTTTATCCATTAATAAATCTACATCCTGTCATATAGACATTGTCCCATGTTTATCCATTAGTAAATCTATATCCTGTCATAAAGACATTGTCCCATGTTTATCCATTAGTAAATCTATATCTTGTCATATAGACATTATAAGACATTTCCTTGTCTCATGATTGCTAAAATGTGTTTACCAGCTTGATGTCTCCACATCATGTAGAAAATCTACATCCTGTCATTCTCATGTTTGTCAATTAGAAAATCTTCATCCTGCCGTGAAGATATTGTAAGACAATATTCCTTACCTCATGTTACTCCATTAGAAAATCTACATCCTGTCATGAAGACATGGTAAGACAATATTGGTTACCTCATGTTTATCCATTAGAAAATCTACATCCTATCATGAAGACATTGTCTCATGTTACTCCATTAGAAAATCTACATCCTATCATGAAGACATTGTCTCATGTTTATCCATTAGAAAATCTACATCCTATCATGAAGACATTGTCTCATGTTTCTCCATTATAAAATCTACATCCTATCATGAAGACATTGTAAAGCAATATTCCTTACCTCATGTTTGCTCAAATGTGTTCACCAGCTTGATGACTCCCGGGGGCATCACATCTGTTCCTGTGGGAATGGAAACCCCAGACCAGATTGAGCTGAGGAAGAGGAGGATTGAGGATGCCATGGACCAAGGAGGTGACACACCTGCATTGTATCAAGTATTACCTGAGAAGAAGGCGGCACCTGTGGGAGCAGCCATGATGGGATCGGCCCATGTGTATGACATTTCTGCTGTAAGTAATTTTTCAGAATCTCTCATTAGCACGTTAATGGCAGTTTCCAACTTTGTGATGTTGAGAAAAGTATTAAAAATAAGCACTTGGCTTAAAAATGACATCATCAAGTGTTTTGACCTAGGCGGTTATTAAAATAATGGAGGCTCAAACAGTACTGTGTACAATTTTTTGTCTGGCATATTTTACATCATTTACTTTACTTACTCCAGGCATGTGATTGGTAGGGACTGACTTTCGTGTAATTTACCACACACACACCAAACAGGCAATTACTTAAACTGGCTGAGGCTGTGACAGTGAAAATAGACAACTCTGCATTGTGCAGAATGAAAGTGCAATCTTCTGTAGCAATGCATCTGATGAAGTACAGTGAAATATGTCCAGCAAAAATTATGCAGTGTATTATTCGTGGCAGCTTTATTTAAATCACTATGGGAGAATATTTTGTTTAAAGGCAGTTATGTTTCTCCATGTCAAACTTACAGCGTTTCATTTTGTGAGTTCTAGCACCTTCTCTCACATGCCAAAAGGCTATCGTTAATGTTTTCTCACTGTCTTTATATATCTTTTTCCATATACGTTTCTAGTTATCACATGTTCATTTTTATCATCTAGTAAAAATTGCTGCTTGTTTCTGATGCCCATGTGTATTTGCTTTATGGAAAACATTAATTTTGTCTGTCCAAAAAATGGTCAGCATTTTTCTTGTACAACATCCCCAAGATCTCAAGAGATTGTTTTTGTTTCCTAATTGTCCATAATGACAACCTCATGTAAAAAAAAAAATTTGTTTCAAAATTTGAGCATAAATAAATGTTCCTGCAGTCATCTTTCTGAAGATTCCTCATATTCTGAGGCAGCAGTTTTAAATGTCTTGTAGGTGGAAAAGGTATTTAAGGCGTGAGAACTCCACAAACATCTTATTTTGTTGACTTGTACAATGATTTTACCAGGTAGACCTTTTTTGTTTCCAGCATTTAATAAAAGTTGGTGGTGAATTACAGACTGAAATGGTACGGTCATGTAATGAGAATGAATCCAGTGAAGCCAGTAGTAACAGCCTACAACACAAACATGGAAATGCCAAGAGGCAGATGGAAACCTGGAAGATCATGGATTGAAAGAGTCAACTGACTTTGTGGACATAATTTTTTAATTTGCCTGCTTTCATTAGAAATGGTGTTGTATATGAAAGTTATTTAAATAGAGTTGTAACTAATGTATACTTTGCTGTCTGAACTCATCAGATTCAGAAGAAACCAGGTGATAAGGGAGCAGCAGAAACTGTAGAAGTGTCCTTGAACCCTGAGGAGCTTGACCTGGACACAGCAGCAATGCAGGCGAAGTATGAGCAGACGGTGCGGGAACAGCAGTCGCAGTTAGAGAAGGAAGACCTTAGTGACATGGTGGCAGCACACGCAGCTAAACAACGGGTAAGCTGGGAGTCTTCAGTATGTTTTGAGTAATTCAGTTTACATTGATAGCTCTGTCTGTACATACTATGAAGTCATAGACATTCAATCATTAGTTCAGCAAACATGTAGCTGACTGTTTTTCTTCACATACATACTGGGGGGGGGGGGGGGGGGGGTCTGGTCTTATCCATTTTGAATACATGGCCAGTGTATTATAATATATGGTGCATACCATTTGCGGCGATCTTGGGTGTGGCAGATTTTTGTTATGAAGAACATTTTGTTTAAAATCGTCAATTTTTTTTTTTGCTTTAACTCTTGTGTAGATAAGAGGAATTTCTGATAAGAATAACTATTTCCTGAGTTCTTATCAGATGAGGTCTTATTGCCTTGATTCTGCAAATTACTTATTATTCATCTCCTCCCTTTGTATGAATCTTCATCTAATTTTTTTTTCTTCCTAATTTCAGAAACGCAAGAAAGCTCAGCAAGATACCGGGAAAGGGTCCAAAAAGTACAAGGACTTCAAGTTCTAGTTGTTTGTTTTTATTGTGTTCATTGATGTAATGCCTTCATTAATACATGTGCATGTCTGTTCTCTTATCTGTAAGCTCATTAAAAAATTATCTTTTAACATTTTGCAAATTTAGGCTTCTTACCGTTAGGGAAATCTGCTGTACTAGGCCCCACATAACTTTTATATTATTTGATGTCACACTGCATATAACAGTGGGGAAAAGTATTGCTCTGCCACTTTCCAAGATATAAATAATTATGTGGCAGATACCACTACACAAGTGTGAATTACTTGGCCATCACATATAGCTCGATACCAGTGAGATGGGGTGGATAGTTTTCTTCCGCATTATCTTGTCTGTTTCAGGTAACTGTCTCATATTCTTATCATTATTCAGCATCCAATTTACATAAAAATAGAAACACTAAGATGCAGAGAGAGAGAGAGAGACCTTGAAGAAGATGGATTGAAAGAAGTTATTGGCAACCTAAGACTTTACATCATTATATACCAAGCAACTATTACCTTGATAGATTGCACACCCAGTGGCACAAAGCAGATACTGACACAAGAAAATCAAATTCATAGAGATAATAGTTCTCACAAAAACATCCGGCCACAGCTGGGAATTGAGCCATTCTCTATATAATGAAGTTCACTGCAGCTTTCATCGCAATCACATGTGAGCTGCAACTGTAGAGTCAAGAGTGGCTTAACTGGAATGTGGCTAAAGTAGTTCTCACACACAAAAGGTCGGCCACAGCTGGGAATTGAGCCATTCTCTACGTAAAGTTCACTGCAGCTCCCATTTCAGTTAGAACAGTAAAGTGGCTTTACTTTTGCCGGAGACCCAGGTTCGACCCTGAGTGAGGTGATGGATTATTTCTATCGGAGGCAGGAGTAAATATCCTGATCTGAACAGTCTATGGTGACAGCACCAGGCTCACAACCGCCATAAAAAGTGGTAAATATAGACAGTGGTGAGTTTTTCACACAGAAAATAGTAGACTTCTGACAGTGCTCTTATTTGGGGAAGGAGAGAGGCATGATTACTTCATCTCTTACATTTGTGACCTTAAGACACCATCATGCCTCCATTTCCTTTTCCCTTTGTCATAAGATGACTATTATCTTATTATTAGGCCATTTAATTCCTAATAGACACACAGTTGTCCAATGTTTTATCTCCTTTTTAGCTTACTCATCAACTTTCCTTTATTCATTTGTTTCTAACGCCCAAATGTTTTTTTTTAATCTGTTTCTTTTGGTAGCAACCATTTTCATTCATCCATGTTTGTTACATTGAGTGATATTTAGCCCTGAGATTCCACCAAAGTGAAATATTAACATCAGTGTTTTTCTAATGAAATAAAAGGCAAGAATCTGTCCATCATTATGTAAAGGTTGAAAGTGTTGGTTCATAGATGGTACATATAAGTTGACATTTAATAAACAAAATTTTAAAAATGTTGGTCCCACTTTGGTTTCCTGTGTCTTGTGCTGTGTGACCTTTGCATCTTTCAGTGTGAAGCAGGCAGTAAGGAAATAATCCAATTACATCAAGTGTCTTGTGCTGTGTGACCTTTGCATCTTTCAGTGTGAAGCAGGCAGTAAGGAAATAATCCAATTACATCACGTGTCTTGTGCTGTGTGACCTTTGCATCTTTCAGTGTGAAGCAGGCAGTAAGGAAATAATCCAATTACATCACGTGTCTTGTGCTGTGTGACCTTTGCATCTTTCAGTGTGAAGCAGGCAGTAAGGAAATAATCCAATTACATCACGTGTCTTGTGCTGTGTGACCTTTGCATCTTTCAGTGTGAAGCAGGCAGTAAGGAAATAATCCAATTACATCAAGTGTCTTGTGCTGTGTGACCTTTGCATCTTTCAGTGTGAAGCAGGCAGTAAGGAAATAATCCAATTACATCACGTGTCTTGTGCTGTGTGACCTTTGCATCTTTCAGTGTGAAGCAGGCAGTAAGGAAAAAATAATCCAATTACATGAAGTGTCTTGTGCTGTGTGACCTTTGCATCTTTCAGTGTGAAGCAGGCAGTAAGGAAAAAATAATCCAATTACATGAAGTGTCTTGTGCTGTGTGACCTTTGCATCTTTCAGTGTGAAGCAGGCAGTAAGGAAATAATCCAATTACATCACGTGTCTTGCTAACTGGCAGTGGCTGTCATGCCTCTCCACAACCTGCGATCTCCAACAGTGTATGCCTAGGCTTTGTGCTATGGAGATGGATGAATTTCATCCCTGGTTGCAGTTAAGACTTTTAATGCAGGTGGGTCTTGCTAGTCACAGTCGCCATCGCCATGGGCGGTGAATCTCATGCCTTCTTATAGCGCAATATAACACCTCGTCTGGAAAGGTGTCAGTCACTAAACTAAATCATGATTAGCTAGCACCTTTTTGTCTTTCCAGATGATGGTGGTCAAATGTTAAAGGGGGGGGGGGGGGGGCATGTGAATCAAAGCCCATGGGGGTAGTGAGTGTGTCCAGGAAGACTAGTTTGATGTCAAGCAGAATCTTTCTCCAAGTGCATGAGATTTTCATAACCTTTGCTGCTATCATGTCTTCTTCATGTTCACTACCTGAAAACTCCAGTGGAAAGTTTGGGTTGTCGGTCAACTTGTGGACTTTTAGTTTCACTGCAGAACTAAAGTTTTGCATACACATATGTTTTACAGATCTGGCTTATTTTAAAGCAGACTTCTGGTTCGTCGCCACGTAGGCAGACGCACTCTGAATTTGAGGAAACATCCTTTATTAGTCTACTTTTACAACATGTCAATGAGGGGAGGCAGTGGATTTAACTCTCGAAAATCCAATATAATGTTGGCCACATCGCCCACCGAGTGTCAATCGGTGTATATGGGTCTAGCATTATTATATACCCAATCTTAAATGGCTGGGGCATATTGAGAGAATATCAAATGACAGAGGTAAAAACTGTATACATAAGGGAGCTAAATGGTCATAGACCATGAGGCCAACCAAGAAGATGACGGAGAGATAATGTCCAGACAGACACTTGGTGTCACCAGCTGGAAAGAGAAGACCAACCAGAGATGAGTGGAGGCGGGTGATATCTGCAGCAATGAAACTCAAGGGTTCAAAAAGCTGAAGAAGTTATATTCCCAATACACATAAAGATGGGGAAAAGGTTCCTCTCCACCAGGATTGATTTCATCTGACTTAGTCTCTCTCTCAGTGTCTGACCGCCTGGTTAGTGTGTCACATACAGCAATAACCCTCAGAAAACTCAAATGTGACTAGTAAGCTCAACAAATCAAATCACAAATGTTACCTGTCTTTATAAGCAAACAACACTATACTGGCATTTGGATGGCATTGTTATCCTATGGCACTTCCCTGTTACAAAATGTAAACGGTATAGTTATCTGATGGCCCGTGTTTATTAGATGATGAGAAAGCCTGTATGCCCCCAAACCATCGATGACGTAGAGCAAAAGAACCATAAATTGACTGGGTGAACCCTACGGTTTGTGTGCAGTTTGAACAGTTTCACTCACTACATTACAAAAGTTTTGAATGTCAAAATTATGACATAATTCTGTCCCTCTCAGTAGGTATGTACTTATTTTTCTCCTGAGTAGTAAAGTGCCATCAGATAACTGCATTTTTTTTTTTTTTTTTTGGAAACGATCTAGAACATGAAAAACCTGACATCCTAGATAATTATATTTCAACCCAACCCAAAAGTTTATTGTTAGATGACAAGTTGAAACAGCGCAGAAGTAGGAGCTAGAAATCCTCTTAAAGTCCTGGGTTGTTTCTTATTTTTCTTCATGGTCAGTGGCTGTAAACTCCTTGTTAGTTTAGTGGTGGGTCTGTTCTCCTTCTCCCACCCCCCAGCAATGGGGTACCAAAATCCACACGAGGAACTGGATAGTTTGAGAATGCCATCATTCTCAGAAAATGAAGAAGAAATTTACTGACTAGGACTGGAGCACTAGCTTATTTACAATGCCACGTCTTTTAAGCTGGAAGACTTCAGACACATTAAACCACCACAGTATTTTAAAAAGAACAATAATGATAATTTTGTGTTTATTCTCAAATAGGCAGTTGGCATGTGTTGTTGCGGTGTACAGCAATATCTGCACCTTTCAGCCAAATGCATGATTCTAACACTCATCAGTTGCTTTTGACAACATATTTTTTTGAGAGGCAGTGGTTTACTTCCCCCGTCTCCAACCATGGAACGCACACGAAGAAAAAAAAGGTTGACTGCATGGTTCCTAGTTAAAGGTGAAAGGATCGACCTCACTGCACTGGGTTTTATCCAATTTGGCTCAGTCTTTCTCTGCAGAGCGGCTGGCCGCCTGCTGACAGCGTCAAGCAAAGCATGAATTCTGTAGCTCTGTTAAAAATGGTAGCCCTGAACCGAATGTTGCGACAGGGCTGAAATAATTCTAAAACACTGACAGTGCCATTTCATGACACTGTATGTGTGGTATAATCTTTATAAACCTGTGAAATATCAAATTACAGCAAGTGTTTTCATTGACACTTGTCTTGTCTTCATACATATTTGTAAAAAACAAAAGTATTTAAACAGTCTGGTTTATTGTAAATACATAACCATGACACCACAGTCACAGCAATGATGCATATTTACTGATAAAGATCATATGATGAATAAATTCACGTTGAAGTTATAATCATCAATGTGATGACATCAACAATTCAGCCAGACTTACACTGGCAAACTTCACTTGGCTACGCTCACTCACTGAATACATAAATAAAATACATCACTTAAAAGTATCACATCACAATCAGATGTCATCTCCACAGTGAAGGTTACCTGCAACAGGGCTCCAGTACTGTCTGTCTCTTGTCTTGGTTGTACACTCTCTCAGACACCTGTTATCCACCATATGATAATGTCCTTCCACGTCTATTGTCTGCCTCTTGTCTTGGCTGTACACTCTCTCAGACACCTGTTATCCACCATATGATAATGTCCTTCCACGTCTATTGTCTGTCTCTTGTCTTGGCTGTACACTCTCTCAGACACCTGTTATCCACCATATGATAATGTCCTTCCACGTCTATTGTCTGCCTCTTGTCTTGGCTGTACACTCTCTCAGACACCTGTTATCCACCATATGATAATGTCCTTCCACGTCTATTGTCTGCCTCTTGTCTTGGCTGTACACTCTCTCAGACACCTGTTATCCACCATATGATAATGTCCTTCCACGTCTATTGTCTGCCTCTTGTCTTGGCTGTACACTCTCTCAGACACCTGTTATCCACCATATGATAATGTCCTTCCACGTCTATTGTCTGCCTCTTGTCTTGGCTGTACACTCTCTCAGACACCTGTTATCCACCATATGATAATGTCCTTCCACGTCTATTGTCTGCCTCTTGTCTTGGCTGTACACTCTCTCAGACACCTGTTATCCACCATATGATAATGTCCTTCCACATCTATTGTCTGCCTCTTGTCTTGGTTGTACACTCTCTCAGACACCTGTTATCCACCATATGATAATGTCCTTCCACGTCTATTGTCTGCCTCTTGCCTTAGACTTCTCCTCCAGTTTAAAAAAACAAAAAGTATTGTCTTCTTTATGTGGACACATTTTTTTCATTGTCTCTTTTATCTTTCCTTCACATGATGGCTTCCAGAATAAGAAACACACAGTGGCAGTCTTTGTCGACCTCCAGCAGGCCTATGACAGAGTATGGAGAAAAGGTCTCCTGATGAAGATGATGAGCATAGGAATACATGGCAGATTGTATAACTGGGTGAAATACTTTCTGATAGATAGAACAATCCAGACTAAGATGCACAACGCAATCTCTTCTAAAGAAGTCTTGGAGGAGGGCTTGCCACAAGGCTCATCATTGAGCTGTACACTATTCCTAATCTTTATCAATGACCTGCCAGAACAAATCAAGGCCGAAAAAGCCTTGTACGCTGATGACCTAGCAATATGGCAGAGTCGTGGAAAGTGGAGCCCAAAGACTGAATGGAGACCTTAGAAGACTGCATGATTACTGCCAAAGATGGAAACTCAAGATTAACTGTGCAAAGACGGTCTACACAATCTTTACCAAAAGCCACCAAGTAGCAAGGAAGAATATTAACCTGAGGTTAGACAAACACCAAGTGATGAAAGAAGAGCATCCCACATACCTTGGAGTCACACTTGACCCGCAGCTCAGCCTCAAGAACCATATTGAAAACATCAGGAATAAGGCATTGAGGCGGTTACAGTTATTAAAGAGACTTGCAGGTACATCATGGGGATCAGACAAGGAAACTCTGAGGGGCTTATACCTAGGATATGTTCGCTCTGTGATAGAGTACAACAACTCACTGCTTACAACTTGTTCCAAAACTAACCTAGAGACTCTTGACAGAGTACAAAATAATGCCCTCCGATTAATCTGCGGAGCTATGCAGTCTACACCAACTGCTGCATGTGAAATCCATACAAATGTGGAACCCCTCGGGTTGCGGAGAGAAAAAGCCACTTTAGAAATTTATGAAAGATGCGTTAGGAAAAATCGTAACCATCCTAATAGACATCTTGTAGAAAACTGGGAATCCAAACAAAGAATAAAGCACAAATCGGTTTTACAGTGTTAATGAAATTCAGGACAGATACCACCTCCCAGAAAGACGTCAAGGAATTCAGAATGTTGCAAAAAACCTACCACCACATGCTCGCTTTAAAGCTCCAGAAGTCCAAACTAAATTGGTAGGCGAGGAAACCAAACAGTCCGACCCAATCGCTCTTATGAACTCATCACTAAAGACCGTTGATTCTTACCCCCAAGAATGGATACATGTCTATACTGATGGATCAGCATTTAAAGCTACCATTAAAGCAGGTTACGGAATCTACATAGGTTATCCCAATGGATCTGTTGAAGAGATTTTTGATGCATGCGGGGAATTCTGTTCAAACTATGAAGCTGAAATAATTGCACTGGAAACAGCAGTATACCACCTAAAGACTGTAATGGATGTTTACCCCTCAAAGGTCCAAAATATTGTCATCTTCACAGATTCAATGTCTGCCCTTCAAGCTCTGGAGGGCAATGAACGCTGCAGAACTGACATAGCCAAGATAATCCTGGATGCCGATCAGCTTATTACCTCATACAACATCAGAATAGTGATGCAGTGGATTCCAGGTCACTCCGGCACACCAGGTAATGACAGATTGGCAAAGAAAGGAGCAACACAAGAACAACCACCTACAGCGACAACCCTCCAGACAGCAAAAACACTGATAAGAGCTATAAACAAAGAGACTTGGTTGAACAGATGGGCCATGGGAGACACTGGAAGAGAGGTTTATAGACATATGTCTGGCCCTGATCCTAATGACAGCATTAACCATCTAACAAGAAGGGACCAGGCCACCATCTACAGACTTAGAACGCAACATACTCCACTCAATGGACACCTAAACAGAATACAGCCACAACACTCCCCAGAGTGCCAGCTATGTAACTACCCCTACGAAACTGTTGAACACCATCTCTTTGAGTGCCCAAAACTCAGTGAGACAAGAAGAACGCTACTCCCTCCGAGACCAGACAAGTGGAACACCTTGTACGGAGGAAAAGAACAGCTTGTGAAAACATGCAAATTCCACTACATGGCATTGGGCCAAAGGGCGAAAGCTCATGCGCCGCTGGATCGATAACAACAACAACAACAATCTTTCCTTCACTAACTATCTTTTCTTTCCCAGTCTCTCCGGTACATCTGTATTTGATTGTATTTGTTACCATGACAAAATATGTCTTCCGTAAAACCAGATCTCCAGACTAAATCTTATTTTCTAGTTGCTTTTTCACTGTGCCATACAGCAGGTTTGAATATGCATAACATTTGACAATTCCTGCTCCTAATGTGTTGTTTATCTCTACAGCTGTCAATAACGTTTGCATCTAATTGATGATATTTTTTGAAATTCTTATGTTTTTTTTAAAAATGTCTATTTCACTTCTGCGGTGATCCAGTAGTACTTATTGTCCAAGACAGGAGAAACTTGCACATTCCTTACTTACGTCCTTTTCAGGACCTAATTTTTTCTTATATGAAGCCCCACTCTGGCTTTTGCCAGGGGCCGCAATAAAGGCAGGCCATCAATATGGCCAATTGTCTGAACGTGGTTTCTGGGACCTCTCCACGGTGATCCTCATCCGCATGGTGGCACTTTGTGTCATCGGGTGTTTATCGCTTGTGTGATGTCCTAGTGGGGTAGAAAGTCAGTCAGTCAGAAACTTGCAACTTATTTTAACATCTCTCCATTTACTGTGATGTTCACTGTTGGTCACTCCTTTCCGTTATTAATTATCATAGTTTGTCATACAGAAAGCAGACTTGCCAATATCAATGTTGATGCTTCCTAAAACAACTGCACACACTCCAATATAACTTACACACCGTGAGCTCCTATTTCCACTCTGGGCCTCATTCATGCAAACCTGTGTGGTATTTATATCACCTGAAAATATTCTTCAGCTGACAGAGTTTTCACTGAAATCTCTGGAGCTTACAGACTGCAGGACCATGTATCATATTTGTTATCATCTGGTACAGGAAATGCACATAACATTTCTGGGTCAACACTTCTAGGATCATGCTGCGCTGACAAACTCATTATCATCATGTGCCCTGCCAACTGGCATAGGCACTCATGCATCTCCACTGTTCACGATCCCTGGTTGCCTGGAACAGCTCTCTTGATGATATCCTTCCATGCCATCATTTCAGCCCATACATCATCATCTCTTCATTTGCCTGTATCCCTCTTTCCTTTGATTGTTCCCCTTTTCACAATGTTTTCCAATTCGTCTCTTCTCCTTACATGGCCAAAGAACAGTGCTTGTCTCCTTCTTATTGTTGTATATAGAGATCTACTCTCAGCTGATGATGAACTGCTGCACACATATGCTGTGATCTCAGGGTTGAGGACATTTTAACTATCTGGTTATTTTTCCTCCATAAAACAGGTTGTGGTGTATAAACAAAAATTTTTGCTGAACACCCTGATATGTTAGGATCTCAGGGTCAGAGAAATGTTAACTGTCTGGCACTTTTTCCATCACCCATGACCTGACAATGTCTAGCACCTGAGAATTCAAGCTGTGTCCAAGACCAGGCATGGTCTTAAATGTTGCATCAGCACCCAATTCTGAGAGACGTTTGTACGTCTGCTTGCCCCAGTGAAGGTCAATAAGTTCATCTTGATCTCCATGGCACATCAACACTGGAGGTCGGCGTATAGACTTCTCATTCTCCAGCACCTGTTAAATTTCAGAAACAAATCATGTTAGTCTTTGAAACAGTAGGAATATACATGAGTATGGGCACAGGGAAAAAATAGGACCCTTTGAACTTAATGATTCCATGTGGGTTCTGAGGCCCCCTTGTGGGGAAGACAAGATAGAACCACTGCCTTCCCAACAAGCATGTCATAGGAGTCGACTAACTGGGAGTTTCCTTTGAAGCCGAAGTGTATCTGCCTGACAGGCAAGCAACTAACAGTCAGCATACAAATGAGCCAGATGTGTGAAACGGATGTGCATGCAACATTGAGGTTGTGGAAGAAGACTACAGTCCGGAGGTGGACAAACACCCACAACTTTCTGCTGCAGTTTACAGCCGGTGAACACGAAGAAGAAGAACTTGACTGTTGCAGAAAAATTAGAACAATGGTGATTATCTACAAGATGGGAAAATGGAAGAAAACTGACCCATACAGAATATCACGAATGAAAATAAATACTTTCATTCCAAATGCTTTTAATCTGCTGCCAACAGTCTTCCATATTTGCCTCATCTACTGATAGTTTCCCACACATTATATAAGGCGCATTCAGAAAGTAATGTCCTCTTAATGTTTTTTTTTTTCTCAAAACATTTTCTACAAAATGTAAGGAATACACTGACAATATAAGCTCCTGTCTATTACACACCCTTATTTTCTGTACAACCTCCATCCTATGGCCTTACATCAATGTGAAACAAGGGCATATACGTCTTGCATGCATCAGGTTTTGTGCTGTTCCTCAGATCCTTCTCTCAGAGACCAATGGTACTCTTATCAACTGCAGCACAACTTCAATATACCGCACACAAACATTTATACCAGTTTCTATTTTTTTTTTCTGTAACCAGAAATTCTGTAATTCCATGTCACGATGACACATAACATGTTTTCAAAAATGTGACATTTTCCACCCCAAATATCTTACACATATAGCCTGATCCTCCATGTCTACACAGTATGCAGCAATAGCCAGTGCCTAAACAGTTATATAGGCATAGTGGCAACTACCCAAAGATGACTTGTCAGCTAAGACCTGTAAATGCCAGAAAAACGGCTTTCTCAGGGTGAAAGGCTTAAAATAAATGATAAATGTGGTTTTCTGTAATGCAGTCTGGTGACTTCACCTGCTTTTTGTATCGTTTTTTGTTTTTGTTTTAACACATTTCCTTCTATGGCATACTGATTCATTGCTTAAATATGACGTTGAATCGTTCTCCATTTTCATTCATTACATCAAGACTGTGTCTACATATGACCTGATCCTGTCTTGACATTAAGGTCACGCTCCACAATTTTGATTTCTCTGACTGCCCACAAATACCTGGAAGTTACGCCAAAATTTTCTTAATTGAATAGTTCTAATCATTTGTTGGTGGACAACATTCAATCATGTTCATGCTGCTTTGTAAGATTTTAAGTATAACTGTTATTAATGCCAAATGACAAACAGACCGATCAAGGAAACAGCAATGTCCAAGAGAAACCTTAAAATAAAAGTTGCTGAGAGAAGCCAAAAGTGCTGGACTGGATTCCACCCATGATATCGAACAGATTGCACAGGATAAAAAGAACGAAGGAACTGACTGCAAATGTATAATGGCATCCCAGGGTGATGATGGATGTTGTTAATCTTCAACTTATTGCCTCAGTCTATTAGTTATTTTCTCTGCAGCATTAGATCTCATCTTAGTCATTAACTCAGACCAGCATTTGCCTTCACCTGGCCTGACAATAACAACTGTCACCTGACTTTATAAAGACATTTTGCATTATCCCTTCCATCTTGTTTTGCATAATCCCAAAATGCTGGATTGAGAATCAGCTGTACACACATGTTGTAATTGTAACTGACTGAAAGAGCATGTTGAGAAAAGTGAAGACAGGCATGCTCCGTGCAGAGTGGCAAGCATTGCTTCAGAGGTCCCAGATAGTTAGCGTCCTTTAGATATTTTCTCCAGGTGTGTTGGGAAACTAACAGGCAGACTGGCTGGTTCATCACCACGTGGTGGTCAACTGATGTATGACAAGCTGGATGTTGTGAGGTCCCTTTGGAAGCCCATGAACAGTGTGAAGGCACAATTGATCATTACCATCTGAGGAGAGTGGTACTGCGAGGAGTTACCAGGGGATCTGGCCAACTCTAAAGGCAAAGGCGAGACAGATATACAATCAGTTACTGGTACCATCAGAATCAGAACTCTTTGCTTGCTGCTGAAGATGGGGACAGAGCACTTATGGGCATGTCCAGAGTGCTATGATGTTGTTTTTTAATTCAACATCCAAAATGCTGATCTTACACCACTGAATTGTCCCTATTACTTGCGCTGTCTTTCACAAAATCAGGAGTTACCTTGGGTTAAGATAAATGAAGGCACTGATCAGTAAACATAAAGAGGGTGACACTTTAAATGGAATTCTTGCCACAGGGGCCTAAAAAAAAGGTATGTCATAAACAGGTTACTGTTCACAGGGATTTGACCAAATAGAAGTGCCAGTTATGTGGCTTCTTGGGATGAATGGGGTTAACTCTTTGAGTCTCAAGGAATGCATCATACTTTCATTGGTTCTACCTACAGACCCCATAAACGCAAGATGCACCGATTTTACATCTCTTTTTACTACCCCTTGGGCCTCTGATGCTAAACCCCTTGAAACTCAAAGAGTTAAAAGAGCAGTCGGCACATTGTGTTGTGGTTTACAGCTAGGCTGTGACAAATGCACCTTTTGGCTCAACACATTTCTTGATTAGTCAGTCACAATGCAACATGGGGAGAAATACAGGTTTATCTTGCATTCAGATATCAATTATATATGCAGCTGATTTGGTAAAAGTAATATAATGAACTTACGGTGTAGATTTCACTGGTGTTATAAAGAAAAGTGCTTGAAGAGACAATGCCTGCAACATTCGGCAAGAATCTCAGGCCAAGATGCAAAGCCATACTGGCCCCCATAGAGAATCCTCCTATACATAAAGTAAATACAAATAAAATCTGTTACACATGTGCAGAATTAAAACAGACGTGCAATTATGTTTTGGTATAAAAAAAAGTATATTTCTGTAAACTCTTTCGCCCCGAGAAGCCTGCATCTAGTCACTTTTGGTTATACCGGTCTTTCTTTCTTTCAAGGAATTTCCTAGGTTTATGACCCATTTTCTTTTTAAGCATTCACAAGGCGAAACGGTTCAAGTTAATTTTATATGAAAGCAGTTGTTTTTAATGTTGCTTGTGAAACCATGGACAGAAATTAGATGCAAACAGTAAATATCTTCTGGACATGTTTTGAGAAGGAATAGATTAGAGAACCTGGTGACAACTGGCAAAACTGATGACGGAAAAAATAAACAGGCAAGCAAAGATAGGGCTTGGCTACATGGATGGGATGAGGCAAAAGTGCCAACCTGATGTATGATTCTGCTGATCGTGTTGGATGACAGATTGTGGCCGCCAATGCTTATCATAGCACATGATGATGATGCTGTAAATTCAGTGAAAGACTGCAAGTTTTAAATCTTTTTAAGTCTGATGCTGTTTCTGCTCCTGCATTAGCCCTCAAAATGGTGGCTGGCACACTGTGTTATAATTTACAGTTAGCTGTGATATCTGTCCCTTTTGGCATGCCTAACACATGGCTCAGCAAACCATTAGTGTATCACCTTTTATGATATTCTCTACAAGAGACAAGAGTTATATTCAGGACAATGGGTATGTTCTGTCTCCCACCCCTCCCTCCTTCCTGTTTTTAATTAAAGATGGGGGGGGGGGGGGACAAGCAAAGATAACAAATGTGTTTTTAGTCGAAGAAAAGAAAACTTGGAAACAAGCAAACATAAGAATGCTATTCAAGATGATGACAAGAAAACTGGGAAACAACTCAACTTTCTACTGGAAACACACAAAAAGGAAAGGAATGCTCACCTGCCGACACTGACTTTAGCTGAGAGTACCAAAACTTGGAAAGAATCTCTTACCTATAACAATCCTGTTTTCAGGAACACCAGCATCCACTTCTTCTTGCACCATCTTCTTGAGCTGCAGTGCCATCTGGTTGATTGAAGACAAGCATTCTGTTCCCCTGGGGCTTAATGATGAACGATCAAACCACACATTGGATAGTGCGCCGCCTAACAATCTGTAGGGTCTGGAAATTATTTGTACTTTTCATTAGTGACTAGTCACACACACACACATATTATTCCTAGGTGCCGTCGTGGTGTAGTGGCTAGACGCTTGCCTTATTTTTAAAATTTTGTTACTAGACTATTCCTAGTTCCTAACCTAAAGATAAGAGAACTAAAGGGAAGGATTAAACAGTACATCACAATGTTAGTAAGGTTGTCTAATTATTCATAGTACAGTTTCTATTGTAATCGTAACTCAAATCAAAGCAATATGGGAAACAATACAAAGTACATTTTGGTCATTTACATAATTACGCGATATTTAAATATAAAATAACAAACATATACCCTGAGAAATCAATCAACACTATATATCCCAATTATAACCCTGAGCGTTAAATAGGATATTAAAAAAAAAAAATACTACTTTTGCAATCTGTTGAAATAATACAATGCAGACATGATAAGGAAAACTTACCAGAGACCTCACAAAAAAAGTTCATCTTATCACTAATTCATTTCATCCAGCAAACAAGAATTCCTGGGTATAAGCAAACTGTTCTTCACAACAGAAATTTGCCACACCTGAGATGGCTTTAATCTGTCTGCACTGAATATAGCCCATGCATTGTTAAATAGTCGGTGTCTGTAGCTTAGGTGTTGCAAATGCGCTTGGTAGTGCCGGGTTCGATCCCAGCTGCAGACAGTTTGTCTTGCCTTGGTTTCCACAGTGGTACCGGCAGCTGACCGTTCCGAGAGCAATAGCAAACTACTGAACGTAAAACTTGCCTAGAAAAACCACAACAGCCAATAAATGCTGGGGTTGGTCCTGCAAGGTATTGTAAAGGCCAGGCAACAAACTTCAACCGTTACTGGCAAACATAAATATCTTATAGTGAAATTATAACTCAAGTGGGCAAAGGGATATTTTTGTTTAAATTACTACTGCTACCACGTTTGAAACAAGTTTTTTTCTTATGCCTATTACCTCTCAAGAGAGAGAACAGTCCCTCAACCAACCTACACCATTCCTTCATAGGCACACTTCTAGTTTTATATGCATGAAGTAGCCAGTAGACACTGATACTTTTATAGCTATCTCTGAACCCTTTAGCTCCTTAAGAATTTTATAAATGAATGTTTTGTTTTTTTTTAACTTTAAAAAAAATTATTTGAATTTATTCACTTTACTACATGTACATATATAACCGACAAAACAAGGCCAGTCTGGTACAGTTGGGAAGCACTTACTGTAAAGGTGCAGTTGGAAAGATAACCCTTATATGGGAAAAGTTAAAATCATGGTGAAGGCCTTCTTTTATGTCATCTTGTAAGTCATGCCCTGTTCCACCTGCAAAATATAATTATTATTTAGTGGAATAAAATAAACACAATGATTAACCGTGATTACTTTCCACAGCCTCATGCTGAGCATAACAAGATATCTTCTTCTTCTTTCGTATGAAATAAATTGTCTATATCTGCAAAGCCGTCTCTTGTATGAATTTCACTGTCTTTTGTAATTCACTAAGCGGCCCGTAAAGTTTGACTTCCACAAGTGTCTCTTTTGGCCAAATGTTTTGCCTGAAAGCGTTGAATATGGGACAGTCTTGAAGGATGTGATCTGTTGTTTCAGGTGCCAGTCCACAAGTACACATGGCTGATTGGCCAATCTTAAATTTGTTGTACATGTGGGAGCGAAGTCTATTGTGCCCTGTTCTAAGGCGAAGGATAATAACTGGCTCTGGTCTGTCCATAATATGGTAATCGTCTTGTGCCAGTTTTGGTGGCATTCTGATTGATTTGATTATTCTTTTCTTCTTTTGTTAAGAGATAGTACATCAGGTTGTTCTTCAGTTGCACCTTCCTTAGCTAGTTTATCAGCTTTTTCGTTTCCGGGAACTCCACAGTGGGAAGGTATCCACTGCATTACTAATTTACAGCGGTTGCCTAGTTCGGATAATAGTGTCCGTATGCTTGGTAATTTTCCAGACTGGAGTGACTGAAGTACTGCTTTTGCATCTGTCAGGAATACCACTGGTTGTGAAAAATACCCTGTATTTAGTATAACAAGATATAAATCCTGGTGTGGGTTCTGGAGTCTCATTGTGGGGGAAAACCGTGATTACTTTCCACAGCCTCATGCTAAGCATAACAAAATATAATCCATGTGTGGGTTTCGGGACCCTATTGTGGGAAAACAAAAATAGACCCACTGCCTCGCCACCAAGCATGTCGTAAGAGTTGACTAATTGGGGGCTTCTTTTAAAGTCAAAGTGCATCTGCCAGAGAGGTAAGAAACCAGCAATCTGCAAACAATTAAGTAAGATCTGTTAAACGGATGTGCACGCACCACTCAGGTTCTGGAACAAGACTAAAGTCCAGAGGTGGGCAAACAACCAGAACTTTCCGCTGGAATTTACAGCCAGTGAATGCAAAGAAGAAGACAAGATATAAATAAATAGCTGTTGCCATTGGCAGCTGTCTGTCTTTCCAGACAATGTTTTAGGTTTGTGCTGTATGGGTACATGGGATCACAGTTCATGAGGATGGCAAGTCTGACAAGACAGACCTGTTCTCTTTAACTCTGTAGCCCCAAGAACGCTGATTTTCAGACTTTGTTTTTTCATGATGTGACATCTTTGGGCAGCTGCCAACATTCCTATACAACAGCTTTGCTACTGGTTGCAAAAGTCTGGTGTGTAGATCTTCTTCTTTAGCCTGAAATAAGTTGTCTATATCAGCAATTTTGTCTCTTGTATAAATTTCACTGTCGTTGTTAGTTCATTCAGTGGTCCATAGAGTTTACGTTCCACTGTTGTTCTTTCTGGCCAAAAGGTTTGCCTTAAAGTGTCAAAATTGGTGCAGTCCTGGAGTACATGCTCTGCTGTCTGGGGCACCTTTCCACAGGTGCACATGGCTGATACACCTATCTGGTGTGTAGATGAAAGTAAAGGACCCTTCTCCATGCCTTCAGGCATACTGGGCAGATAGGGCTAGATCTATATTTTATAGACCGATCAGCAAATGGTGGGTGAATTGGTCAACATCAAACCAGCCACCTTTACTTCCCAGAACTATCCCTGATACCCACTCAAGGCTGGTTCGACCTGGCAGCCAAGGTCAACTTTGAAAAAAGTCAGGTTCTGTGGGGATCTGAACCTATGACCTTTCGATCTGCAGGCGAGCGTGTAGCTGCTCAACCATGGGGCTCCTGTGTAGATGTGGGTATTTATTTTACACATACACACAAATTGGGGTTGGTCATTGTGACATCATAATAAACTTGAGGTCACATTGCTCTGTAGCAGCGTCAACAAATCTGTTTTCTAGGTCAAATGGAAGGAAGGTAGTTTTTTCTTTGCTCTTTTGTATCAAAATAATGACTAATAAAAAATGTATCTTTTTTATTGACTTGGGGGCCATAGTGACACAACTACTAGCAGGCTTACCACCTGCCTAGTAGTCTGAGGTTTTAATCATCTGGATTTGATAAAAACTGACCATGACTCAAAATTTCTTCTGCTTCTTCTTCTCCTATAGTTTCTTAGAGCAGGGTTTCAGCAAATTTGTAATGTTAATTTTTCAATTTAAAAAGGCTGTGTATGGAATGACGATATGAATAGGGCACCACCGGCCGTTATTTTGTAAGTTCTGTCAAACACAATCATATAATTACAAGATTCCATCATTTTGAAAAAAAAAAAAGAACACGATTCTTTTCTGTTTAGCAACTACATCACACATGATTTAGGGACATCCCGTATTACAGAAGGGGTTAGAGTTAGTATTGGTTACCATTTATTTAACCCTAACCCCTTATAATAAGGGATGTCCCTAAATCACATGTGATGTAGTCGCTAAATTTAAAAGAACCAAGAGCAATTTAACCTATGGGTACCATCCAACTTTCTTTTTTAATTCATGAGAAAGATTTCAAACTGATGATTTTAAGAAAATGTTTTTTTCAGATGTAAAATATGTCCTGCTCATGATTCCCGATGCATCTACACACTTTCTGAGTTTATTTATACTTTCTTCTGACCTTTTATTTATACTTTCTCGGACTCTTCTATTTACTTGGAGTGTCACGTTCTCTTGCCTCCAAATACATTAGCACCAATGTCATGTGTTCTACACTACACGACGACACAGCTTTTATTGACGCCAGAACATCTAAAACTTCCCCTAAACACCCCCCCCCCCCCCCCCCGCAGCCTGAGCCTAAGTCACATAAGACGGTCTCTTAAGAAGTAAGTTAAGAAGAAAGCATACAATACAACTTGACACCCCTCTGACCTAGATCAGACTGAGAAAGCGTCTAGATGGGCCGGGAAACGTAAACAGATCCGTAAAATATAATTAAACAAAATGTTGTAACCTGATCCATGCATAAATACAAACGAGCCTGTCCATCGCCCGGACGTTGGTTCACTAATGACACTTCTGAACGCCTTTAGCATCTCTGACTTCTAGACCGTCAACTTTCTCAAACAAACGGACGCCCAGCGTGATGCAAATATGTTATGTTAATATTCTGATACTCGTCGACAAACGCTTTGACTGTTCTTGTGTGTATGTGTGCTTTTTTTTTCAATGCCCTCTTCCTTCGTATTCACAGTTTGTTCTCAGTGTATTCAAAACTCGTCATATTGTCTCGTTCCCAGCTCGTCGTCTGCAGACGGACTCCCCAGAGTGCCCTCCCCTAGCCCCCTGTCTACGGCCGCCACTTGATTGGCCAATGGGCTTGCCAGAACAGGATGGCGGACGCATTCCGGCGTCCTAGCATAACAACAATGTAAACATGATTTGACAATTGTCAGACGGTTAGTAGCTACAACTTTATCTTCTCGGGTTTGTACTGTCATAGTCTTCGATATCTAAACTATTGGTGGTTAGGTTTCTCCTAGGATGATATTGGTTTAAGAGAATGTATGTGAGGTGATGTGTTCATGAATGAGTGATGCTTAGTGCATTGATTGAGTAATGTTAGTAACAATGTTACCCTAGGTCTCTGAAGAGGTCATTTTTATCTTGCTTGTTTTATCTTGAATCTGAAATCAGCGGAAACTCAAAACAGCATCTTTCACGAACAGTATTATATGTGCACATTTACATACGTAATTACAGATAATTTTTTTATTTTGAAGTGAAGGGCAGCAGTCGAATTTAGATTTTTTAAAAAAATTATTAAATTAAATATAATAATAGTTTACGATAACCGTACGGACGCATGGCACAACTTTCAACTTCGTTGAATTTTACCACAATATATTACAATTGTTCTTGTACTTGTATAACTAACTGCTTGTCCCAGGCTAACACATCTATTCAGCGGATCGCATAGTATATGGTTGCCCATCCTACCATACTATTACATTCTCTGCAGAAAAGATGGCTGTATCATTTGATTTGCTTTTGCCATCGATTTTTTTTTTTAAAGGAACATCATTCTCAGGCACCATGCCTGCCCCCAACTTAGAGTTGTGTCAGAATGAATGTTGCCAGCATGTGTTCCCCTTCCCTCATCTTGAGTTTTAGTTTTACTGATTGATTGCCAGGAATGAAATATTCCATTGTTCATTTGTAATACTTAATATAATATATTATTACTATTAGTATTACTGTATTAAGTGTATTCCTGTTTTATTGTTTCAGACATTGCACTCACTGGTATTAATAGAATGAACAATATATTAACTTTATGAAATGTGTATGAATGTGCCTATGTGTATATAAAAATAATTAATTAAAAATAATCAGTATTTAACGATTTATATTTAACTTTAGCATTTATAAGAATTGTACAGAACTGGTTAAATACTTTAAACATGAAATTAAATACAGCAATTTAGTTACAAATTAATTATTAATTTAAACAGAAATGAGTGTTAACATAGCACAATCATTGATCTTCTTCTTCTTCACTTCCTCTTTTACCGCTGTGGGTGTCGAGGGAGATATAAGGTTCTGTTTCTGGCTCTTCTGGCCGCCTCGACCATAGGCACATCGTGCTGTTGTAGAGCTTCTCTGATGTTATCCTTCCATATTGTTCTTGGTCTACCTCTTGCTTTACGACCTTCTTCATTGATCAATAATAAATAATTCCATTCCTGTTTTACGTCCTCTTTGTCATAATGATTATTTTGTTTCTTGAGAAATTACTAAAATAAAATAAAAATACTTGCAGAATATCGGGGGACTAAAGGAGATGGGATCTGTGAATTAGTTTATAACTTTGCTGTTGCCTTTGCTGGATTGCATGTTCTATGTTTGTATGTATATGTGTGTGTGTGCAATGGTCTTGTTTAACTGTTCTAATGAATTAAACAACATAAATATCAGTCAAAGGAGTGTTCATAATCTCACTTCTCTTCTCCCCTTTAACCCCCAGTGAAGCATAGACCCTCAAACAACTCGCTAAGTTATCTATCTTTTGCTGTTGAATGTCACTCACCCTGTGTCCTCCCTAACTTTTCCTTCTCCTTAGGGTTTTTTTGTCTGCTTTTATTCTTTTGATCTGGTGGGTTCCAGCTCATGAACATTCTAGTTATATTGTTTTAATAAACTTCTGTCCCTAAGTGACCGGTAAAGGCTGACACAGCAAATTATGAACTCTTAATTTAAATTACTTCAAAAGCCCTTTTTTCTGCGATAGCAGCACCCAAGTACTGTTTTGTTGTTGTAAATATGATGATATCCAGCCCTCCTGAACACTGTATCTTCTTCTTTGCATTCGGTTTCGTATGCTCAGATCAGACCATCAGGTGGGTTGCTTCTGTGAACTCGCATGTCAGTAGCAGGTACTTCATGGTTCCCCATAGCTTGCTCTGCACACTTTGCTCTTGAGGCCAGGTGTCTTTTCGAAGTTGTATGTAGAGTGGGTAGGTCTGCAGAATGTACTTAGGTGTTTGTGGTTCTGCTTGTCAGGACATTGTGGGGACTGTACAATCTTTTTTTTATGCATGTGGTAGTTGAGCCTGCAGTGTCCTGTTCGTAGACGGAAAATTGTTGTATGTTGCTTTCTGTTGAGTCTGCTGATGGGGTCTTGTGGATGTTTACTTCAACACTGTGTATAAGTATTTGTAAACAGAGCCAGGTTGTCAGAGACCAGCCAATGAAGCAATGCTGTTTAAATAGCTTTACAGGGATTTGTAACAGGCCACAAAGCTAGATTATCTGTGTCTCTGTGCGAAAGGATAATTAACTTCAGTTTGATGCCTCAGTGCAAAGAAATAGATGGGAGGATCTCAGTAAGTTACTTAATTCATAAGTATATTTACTTTAATAAAAATGAGTAATATCTGTAAGTTTAATGGTTTGTAACTGCAAATTGCATCTGTGATCAGCCGTTCTCATGGGATGATAGTCAAATGGCAGCAGTTAGAGAGTCACGTGGCCCAGATTCAGATGGTAATGGATCTCTGACACCATCAGAGCAGAGCGACAATGATGATCGGAGTGAACATGACTCAGACTATGAAACAGAAGATGAAGATGAACGGCTTGAGCCCAGGTAAGCTAACTTCTTTACACCTTTCCAAACATATTCTGGTTTTTCTTACTTGCTGATGCAAATTGATTAACGGAATCAATATCAGACAAGCTAGGGAATTTAAATATCCAGGAAGTGTGATCACAGAAGATGGCAGAATTGACAGAGAAATAGAAATCAGTTGTCGGAAAGCAGGTGCATTAATATACCATGTGTAATCATTATTAACTTAAGACAGCCAAACATAAATGATTGCAAAATAAACAGCAAGTTCATACCCTTGAGGCTTATGGGGCCCCATTATAGAGAAATCAAGAATAGACCTACTGCTTCCCTAACAAGCATGTCAAAAGAGTTAACTAATTAGGGGTTTCCTTCGGAAAGTGCATCTCTCCGAGAGGCAAGAAACAGTCTGAACAAAAAAAAATCAGATTTATAAAACCAATATGCACACAACACTCAAGTTCTGGAACAAGACCATCAAGTCCAGACATGGATGAACAAGCAGAACTTTCCATCAGTGTTTATAGCTTTTAAACACGACGAAGATACCAACATTAAGCTACAAGTGCCAAACATGGACATTATCTATATACGCAAAATCACCATTCGCTAGAAGAGAAATGTGAGAAAAGTCACAGACCTGGTTGTCTGAAATGATGCTATCACACAGTCGGCGTCTGCTTTGAAGCATTGCAAACATGTTTTATAATGCCGGGTTTGATCCCAGCTGTAGGTGATTTGACGGCAGACCACCTTGTGTTGGTTTCGACAGTGGCATCGAGAGCTAACTGTTCAGAGGCAGTGGTAAACTACTGAATGTGTCCAAAAAAAACCACAACAGCAAAATATGCTGGAGTTGGTTCTGCGTCCTGTAAAGAACACACAGCTCTCGGATGCCCTTGTTTCATCAGACCCTCAATTTCCCATTTAATTGCCATTTTAGTGATTCTCTGTTCGTCTCTTCTCAGACTGTCCAGTATAGCGCCATCTTCTCTGTATTATAACTGTTGATACTAGTGGTTACCGAGAGCAGTAACTTTTTTTTTAAAATCACTTAAATCACACGTTCTTCTATTTTCTTTCCAGGGGAAAGGCTTTGAATATACAGTGGACTGGGTATGGTAAAAGAGTTCCGGTGATCTTGTTCAATGCTGAGACAATTCTTAATAGAAGAACTGATTTTAAAACTGTTGGTGGTAAGTTTTTATCAAAGCTTTTTTTTTTTGGTTAAAAAAATGTCACACCTCTAGCTTTTTCACTCTGGAAATATTTGGCAAGGCCCACAATTCCAGAAAAATATCTTTTATTTAAAATTTAAAAAAACTTTACAAAGGTCACTAAATGTAGTTAAAAAAAAAATAAAACATATATTTTTAAAAGTTTTAGAAATATGTGAAGAGAAAATAAGTAAAACTGGGTGAAGAATTGAATTATTACACTCCCTTGAGCCTTAAAAGTGTGTGCGTTGACTCTTACCATGCCCCATTGTGATGCGTTTGCTAAAGTCTGCAAACTAATTATAATGTTATAATCACTTTTTTTAAAAGCTTATTTGTCCTTAATAACCACCCCAGCCTCCTGAACACTGAGTTAAAGAGAACAGTGCCATTAACCAGGCGTGTCAGGGGCAGCCCATTGCAGCAATGCCATTAACCAGGCGTGTCAGGGGCAGGCCAGTGCAGCAATGCCATTAACCAGGCGTGTCAGGGGCAGCCCAGTGCAGCAATGCCATTAACCAGGCGTGTCAGGGGCAGCCCAGTGCAGCAATGCCATTAACCAGGCGTGTCAGGGGCAGCCCAGTGCAGCAGTGCCATTTAACCAGGCGTGTCAGGGGCAGCCCAGTGCAGCAATGCCATTAACCAGGCGTGTCAGGGGCAGCCCAGTGCAGCAATGCCATAACCAGGCGTGTCAGGGGCAGCCCAGTGCAGCAATGCCATTAACCAGGCGTGTCAGGGGCAGCCCAGTGCAGCAATGCCATTAACCAGGCGTGTCAGGGGCAGCCCAGTGCAGCAATGCCATTAACCAGGCGTGTCAGGGGCAGCCCAGTGCAGCAATGCCATTAACCAGGCGTGTCAGGGGCAGGCCAGTGCAGCAATGCCATTAACCAGGCGTGTCAGGGGCAGCCCATTGCAGCAATGCCATTAACCAGGCGTGTCAGGGGCAGCCCAGTGCAGCAATGCCATTAACCAGGCGTGTCAGGGGCAGCCCAGTGCAGCAATGCCATTAACCAGGCGTGTCAGGGGCAGCCCAGTGCAGCAATGCCATTAACCAGGCGTGTCAGGGGCAGCCCAGTGCAGCAATGCCATTAACCAGTCGTGTCAGGGGCAGCCCAGTGCAGCAATGCCATTAACCAGGCGTGTCAGGGACAGCCCAGTGCAGCAATGCCATTAACCAGGCGTGTCAGGGGCAGCCCAGTGCAGCAATGCCATTTTAATGTCTTACACTGGGATTTGTAACCGACAGGATTGCCAGATTTTCAGCATCTTAGAAATACTACACTTTTTAATGTCTTCATTTTCTCTTTTTTTAATGGTAAGTTAATGTATTAACTGCCATTATAAATCTGCTTAATTATGCATTTGAAGCATTAGAAGTATAATTTGATAAAGCCACACCAGCTTCATTTCTAATGCAGTCGGAGATAAAATAAAACATAAACTGTAACTAATCCCAACTGTTTTAGTTAAAAAATAAATTATTTACTCAGAATTGATGACCCACGGCTGAAACTCCTTATCTGGTTAAGACTTGTGTTTTATTCCTGTAGTTAATAAATTACAGATACATTTTTGTGACTTCATAGTATAGTATTGGTAATTTTTGGTGATCATATTTCTTTGAAATGTCATTTTCCTAATTAACTGAAAGTTCATACATTTAGAAAAACATTTTGATAAAATCAGTTCTTTGAAATTAATGAATATGTACGAGTCTGACTTCTGTGTGTTAGTAACATTTTTATTTTGTTATTTTTCAGAGCGCTATCACCTAGCATTTAAATTTGCCTCAACTGACTGCAAGATTGTCCGGAACATTTTATTATCACATGGTTTCCATGAGGTAATCTCATTGTGCATGTTCTTTTTTGTATTACACATCACAATATTTATCATTTATTAAACACATATGTTTTTAATAAGTCACTGTACAAGAGTACTGAAATGTTAATTCAGGTCTATTCTGCTATATGGCGCCCAGTATTGGGATGTGAATTTATATATTCTTAAATTTTGGGGGGCAGCAAAGACATAATTTATGTGACAACTTTTGCAAATACCTTGGACAGTCAGAGTAATTATTGATAATTACCTGGAACTATGACGGGGGAAAGGGGGGGGGGTAAGGGGGGGTAATAGCCTACTGCCACTCCCCCTTGCAAGCATGTCTTAAAAAACGACTAATCAGGGAATCAACAGTCTGCATAGAAATCGAAGTCGGAGTGCATCTGTCTGAGAGGCAAGGAACCAGCAGTCTGCATGACAATGAGTCAGATCTGTAAAATGGATGCACATACAACACTCAGGTTCTGGAACAGGACTGCAGTCCAGAAGTGGACAAACAACCAGAACTTTCCGCCGGCATTTACAGCTGGTGACGGCGAAGAAGAAGAAAGAAATAAACCAGATCTGTAAAACATGTGCATGCAAATCTCATGTTCTTGAACAAGACCAAGGTCCAGCAATGGACTAACAACCATAACTTTCTTTGCCACAATTTACTGCCGATTAACACTTCTAAGAAGAAGAAAAAGAATTAAATCTTTAAGTAGTAGGATTGCTTAAAACCAGTGGTTTGTGCTCAGTCTACATCATTGACAGAATTATTTTTTCCAGTTAGTGTGTCTGAGCTGTTTACTATCACTGTGAAATATGCATTGCCGACGATCAATGCATATTTCACAGTGATAGTAAACAGCTGCAAGACCACATAAACCTACTACACGACAGTTGCCTCAAGCATCATATGAAGATCAATACTGAAAAGACAGAAGTCATGAGCATAAGTAGAGAGCAACAGACCATCGACATAAAGATTCTAGATCACAGCCTAAAACAAGTGCAAGAATTTAAATACTTGGGAAGTATCTTTACATCCAATGGTAAAATAGACAGAGAGATCGAAGCAAGAATCCAACAAGCCAACAATGTCGCATACCAGCTTGCCCCAATTTTAAAACACCCTGCTGTCCCAGCTGAGATAAAAAGACAAATTATAAATACAATCTTTATACCGACATTAGGTTATCAATGTCAGACTTGGACATTAACAAAAGAACACGAGAGAAGACTAACCACCTGTGAAATGAGATGTTTGAGAATGGCTGCGAATAAAACCAGAAGAGATCGAGTGAGAAACGATGTGATTACAAGAACTATTGGAACCATACCCATCGTTAAATTTATTGAGAAGCAAAGAAGGAAATGGTTTGGTCACCTAATGAGAATGGAACCAACGATGCCAGCATCAAGAGCATACAACATGAAAATCGAAACACCAAGAGGCAGGGGAAGACCAAGAAGAAGATGGATTGAAGGAGTTACGGACAACTTGAGACGGCATATGAAGCGACTGAGCGCCCCCTGGCTCGGTTGCCGATCATCTGATAGACTGCGACGCCTAGCGGCACAAGCAGATTTTGACAAAAGAAGAAGAAAAAAAGAAGTGTCTGAGGAGCGGACTCAGCCTCATAAGATGGATGCTAGGCTTTTTTATATGAATGTGAAGGTTGTGATGCAAGGAACACTGAGATCATACAAAACGTCAGAATGGTTTTGACATTTCAGATATTCGATGTTTTATAATGTATTAGTATGATGAATGTTTTTTCCTTTTATTCTTTAATTTATTGATTAGGTTCACCCAAATAGCACAGAATACAATTTAATATGGAGCAATTCGCATCTCAAGCCATTTACTCTCAGAACTATGTCAGAATTTCAAAAGATCAATCATTTTCCCAGGTATGTTGCTTTGTCATGCTTGGCTTGTAATATTTTGTGTGTCAGAGTGTCATACTTGGCATGTAATATTTTGTGTGTCAGAGTGTCATACTTGGCATGTAATATTTTGTGTGTCAGAGTGTCATGCTTGGCATGTAATATTTTGTGTGTCAGAGTGTCATACTTGGCATGTAATATTTTGTGTGTCAGAGTGTCATGCTTGGCATGTAATATTTTGTGTGTCACAGAGTGTCATACTTGGCATGTAATATTTTGTGTGTCACAGAGTGTCATACTTGGCATGTAATATTTTGTGTGTCACAGAGTGTCATACTTGGCATGTAATATTTTGTGTGTCACAGAGTGTCATGCTTGGCATGTAATATTTTGTGTGTCACAGAGTGTCATGCTTGGCATGTAATATTTTGTGTGTCACAGAGTGTCATACTTGGCATGTATAAAGTTTGGTATGTTGTGTTTAGTATGTGAAGCTCAGAGTATCATACTTGGGATGTAGTGTTTGATGTGTCATGTTTAGAGGGTCATCTCTGACATGGCCAGCTTGAATTGTTAGGTATGGCGTATCATACTTAGTATATCAAGTTTGTTGTGTTGTGTTTAGTAAGTCTTTTGCTTTGAGGATCATATTTGGCGTTCCCTGTGTGGGTTCCATGACCCCATTGTGGAAACAGCAAGCATAGACCCACTGCCTGGCCAGCAAGCATAGACCCACTGCCTGGCCAGCAAGCATAGACCCACTGCCTGGCCAGCAAGCATAGACCCACTGCCTGGCCAGCAAGCATAGACCCACTGCCTGGCCAGCAAGCATAGACCCACTGCCTGGCCAGCAAGCATAGACCCACTGCCTGGCCAGCAAGCATAGACCCACTGCCTGGCCAGCAAGCATAGACCCACTGCCTGGCCAGCAAGCATAGACCCACTGCCTGGCCAGCAAGCATAGACCCACTGCCTGGCCAGCAAGCATAGACCCACTGCCTGGCCAGCAAGCATAGACCCACTGCCTGGCCAGCAAGCATAGACCCACTGCCTGGCCAGCAAGCATAGACCCACTGCCTGGCCAGCAAGCATAGACCCACTGCCTGGCCAGCAAGCATAGACCCACTGCCTGGCCAGCAAGCATAGACCCACTGCCTGGCCAGCAAGCATAGACCCACTGCCTGGCCAGCAAGCATAGACCCACTGCCTGGCCAGCAAGCATAGACCCACTGCCTGGCCAGCAAGCATAGACCCACTGCCTGGCCAGCAAGCATAGACCCACTGCCTGGCCAGCAAGCATAGACCCACTGCCTGGCCAGCAAGCATAGACCCACTGCCTGGCCAGCAAGCATAGACCCACTGCCTGGCCAGCAAGCATAGACCCACTGCCTGGCCAGCAAGCATAGACCCACTGCCTGGCCAGCAAGCATAGACCCACTGCCTGGCCAGCAAGCATAGACCCACTGCCTGGCCAGCAAGCATAGACCCACTGCCTGGCCAGCAAGCATAGACCCACTGCCTGGCCAGCAAGCATAGACCCACTGCCTGGCCAGCAAGCATAGACCCACTGCCTGGCCAGCAAGCATAGACCCACTGCCTGGCCAGCAAGCATGTTGTAAGAGTCGGCTAATTGAGTGCTTCTTTCCAAGTCGAGGGACATCTGCCTGAGAGGCAAGGCAAGGATCCAACAGTCTGCATACACACAAATCAGATCTGTAAAATGGATGTGCACACAACACTCATGTTCTGGAAAAAGTCCAGAGGTGGTGGACAAACAACCAGAACTTTCCACAGGAGTTTACAGCATGTGAATGCAAAGGAGATATTTGGCATATAATGTTTAGTGTGTTTCATACTTGGTTTATCATGTTTGAAGTTTCCTACTTGGCATAAAAAAAAAAAGTAAAAAGTAAAGGACCCTTTCCACGCCTTTAGGCGTATAGGGCATATAGGGCTAGACCTATATTTTTATAGACCAACGGCACAAGATGGGTGATGTGGTCAGCATCACGCCGGCCGCCTCTACTTCCCGGGATTGCACCCGGTACCCACTTTAGGCTGGGTCGACCTGGGAGCCAAGGTCATTTCCTACTTGGCATGCCATGTGTTGAATGTTTGGCGATGGCTGTGGGAAAACATTGTTACTATCCTTTTTCTGCTCCTCTAGGCCCCTGTGACACATGGTAGCTGGTATTAATAAAGCTGTCAAAGTATTAACAAATCTTATGGGTTTTTGTGTATCTGCTGCTGTCTTTGGGAATATTTGGTGGGGGGAGGGGGGGGGGAGCGGGAGGTTTTGTCGTGAGGAGAGGCTGGCGAGAAAGAATAAGGACAATTTATTTATATATTTATTTGCTACATTCCATGCATAGGACAACCACCACTTTTAGACTTGACAGCTTCTGAGTTGAGTGCATGGTGTGACACTGTGAGCTATGTGTGTTTTTCGTTGGCACAGGAGCGGAGCAACTATGGGGTGACCCGTTTGCTATGAAGCTGAAACTAGGATTACCAGACTTGACAGATTTGAGAGAACATATTGTCTTTTACAAGGAAAAATACAGAATGTTCTTTATAGTTGAATCACTACTGTCCGAAAACCATGAAAGAGCTTTTTTTTTTTTAAAATGAACTGTTCGCCTGGGAAATTCAACCCGAGATCATGGAATTTTTGAATGCACACACTAACCTTTGAGCCACAGAACTGCACTGCTAGGTTAAACACTTGCATGTTTTATAATGTTATGACACAGTTATCTTTGTTTCTCAGATCATATGAACTCACAAGAAAAGACAGATTGTTTAAAAATATACAAAGAATGCAGCAGACAAAGGTTTGATTAGTATTTTGACATCTTTTTTAGAATTAAGCATGAAAAAAAAATTTACAGAAACAATTAACATTCTCTTTAGAATAGTGTTCTATGCTAGAGTTTGTTCATTTTATTGTGTAGATAATTATGTATTCACATTTCTGCCTTGGCATAATTTGCTAAGTGTAGTTTTAGTTGCTTGAATTGAAAGAGAAAATAATTTCTGTACCATGATGAGACTAGGTCCAGCGTAAAACACCCTCATATTTATAAATGCCAGCGCAGTTCAGAAATATAAAGAGGTGAGGAAAAGATGCTGGCTCTGAATAGATCAAACGTTTAGAAAGTCTGATAATTAAATAATAGAATGTCCTTGTGCTGGAATGAACAGGGTCAGAGAATATACACATACCCCAAGGCGGAATTAGAGAGTGAAGTGAACGAAATGGGGAGAAGAAGGTTGAGCTACATGCAGTGGCAAAAGATAAAACAATTTGGCAAGAGTAGGTTGAGAGTCTATGCTCCATTATAAGATAAAAGGAAATTAGAAATATTGTTTATATTAATTGAATTGTTTAATGAAATGTTGGTACTAGTAATAAATCTGTTTAAATAGTACAGTGTCTCCTTGACTTATGACCAAGTTCTGGTTCGACTAACAGGTCGTGAGTCGAATTTATACTTGTGAACACTTTCTTTCAAATGGGTATTTAAAAAACTGCACTTAAAAACATCTTGAATCTATGTATGTCTAATTATTGCACATGATGTGAAAAAGACATAATATGTATGCTATTGTACTTACTGTACACAAATATACAACCTGTAATTACTATTATAATTTTTTTTCTGTTAGTTAAAATTTGCATGAGAAGGTGCAACAAAATATTAATGATTTCCCTGCACTTTTTTTTATAGGGTTACAAACATTTTGATTTCATCCCTCAAAGTTTTGTCTTACCTGGAGATTATCAAGATTTCTGTTGTGAGTTACCCTACCCATTTATGTAATTTTTGCATGCACTTTGTAAGTTTCATTATGTCTGCTTAAACATGAAAGAGTGTATTTGGGGAGTTGCATTTGTGACAGATTTTAGTGTTGGGCTTTGGGTTGGCCACCTCATACTGTTAGAAGAGCTGCTTCGCATTCATCAGCTGTAAACTAGATCACTTTTGGACCTATGTCTTATTCCAGACCTTTAGTTGTGTGTGCACATCTGTTTTACTGATCTGGCTTATTTATATGCAGATTGTTGGTTCCTTGCCTCTCAGGCAAATGCACCCCGACTTTAAAGGAATCTAATTAGTCAATTTTTATGACATGCTGGCTAGAGGGCTGCAGGTATATCCCCACACCCACCCCCTCTAGAATGGACCCTAGAACTCTCATAGGGGCTAAACAAATTAACCGCAAAAACAAACCAGCCATGAAGAATTTTTTAAAAACAAGTAACATAAAATACTCATCTAGCCAGGATGGGGGAAACTTCTTCAAATAGAAGAATTAAAGAGATTGGGGGGGGGGGGGGAGAACTGCAGACAGTAGCAGAATAAGAATAGGACGGCTTGGTGAGAGTTGGTTGGGGGCCTGTGCTCCATTGAGGAATAAAGGGCAGAAGAAATCTTAGTAATTTAAATAAGAAAATGCCATTTTATTTATTCTGTCTTTATAATAAAAATGATTGTTTGTTATTTTAATGGGTTTTTCAGTTGGTATTTTGTGTATTTGTTTTGTATTATTATCTTTTGTTTATTTTTAAATAGTCATGTCGTGTCTCTGTAAAAAAAAATTTAAATGGATAATTACCACTGTTTCAGAAATATGAAATGTTAATGGAAGGAGACATTACTTAAAGTTTACAGTTTGTTTCTGTTTGAGAGAGAAATAGAGTAAAATAAAACAGACTTTAAAAAAAAAAACAATAGAGAAATGTTTGATGAAATTAATGTATAGTGTGTGAAAGTCACCTTCTACCAAATGTTTTCTCTAGCAACTTACATAAAAGACAAGGGACCGTACATTGTGAAGCCGGTTGCGTCGTCCCGGGGCAGAGGTGTATTTCTCATCAACCATGTAAGTTCCTAAAGTCAAATCTACCTTCAGCTTCTTCAACCCTTGCATGCTGTCTAATTAAAGTTCTTGTGTCCCATTGGCAAATGGCATTTTTGAGGCATTTTATTTTGTCTATACCCTCTCATTTCCGTGTTGCTGTTGACTGGGCACGAAACATAATATCGTTCATGTTGTTAACGGTACACTCAAACAAGCGCAAGAATTAAAATATCTAGGAAGCATATTTACTGAAGATGGCAGACTCAGCAGAGAGATAGAAGGCAAATGCTGTGTTTCCGGTTTGGGTCAAGATGGCTGGACATGTTTCCTTCTAGCTTGCCTTAAGACTGTTGATCAACGACCTGACAAGTCACCATCATAAAACATCCTATATTTTAGGATCAGATTTCTATCTCTAAATGTTATGCTGCTATGTTCGTCTAATAAGTACCTTTAACAAACTGACAAACATCTGGAAGTCAAAGACAGCAATCACACAAAACTTAAGATCTTCAGCTTTTGTGTGAATCCAGTGCTAACTTGCAGATGCAAGAAATGTCTTAGAATAATACTAAATCTCCATTGGACAGATTTCAGATCCAATAAACAAATAAGACAAGAGACCAAGCAAGACTATTCAGTTTTATGAGAAAGTGCAGCTGGAACTACATCAGCCATGCACTCAGATTGGATAAGACTTCCCCATCATGCCCTCAGAAGGGAAAAGATAATAGGGAAGACTAAGAGAGACTCTTCGTAGAACCATTGTTAGGAAAGGCCCAGCCATTGACAACAAACATCCAAGACCTAAAACAGGTGGCAAGGAACAGCCAGATATGGAGAGCTATGACCTTTGCCCTATGCGCTTCTCTAAACTCAAGAGGAAAGACTAACTAACCAGTTAACCCCACTGCTCAGACACCCAAATGTCTCCTTCCAGCAAATGATTAATAGCATCGTTATTGCTACTTTATGTTATCAGTGCCAAACATGGACTCTGAATAGGGCACTAAAACAGAAAATAACTACATGTGAAATGCGGCGTTCCTGTGTGTCACTAACAACTCAGTAAGAGACATGGTTATGAATACCAGCATTAGAGAGAATAAGACCATGTCTGGATAATATTGACATACAAAGAATGAAATAGTTCAACCATCTAGTGAGAATGCAGACAGAACAAACTGTGGATTAGACTTTTTACAGCAGAACTTCTGGGAGGAAGATGAGAGGAATGCCAAGAAAGAGTTGGAAAAATGGTGTAGCAGAAACCTGCAAAAAAGATAAACAAATCTATCTTCCAGGCCAACCGAGAAGTGCAAGACAAATGCAGAAAGCCACGACTCTGGGCTACAACCTGGTATCAGTGAGATGACAAAAGAAGAAGTTGTCGTTGACACATAAGAAATTCACAAATTATCCCCTTTGCTGTCAGTCTGCTTAACTTAATTCTCGTGTTGATGTCAGTAGCTGCTAAGATCAACTATGAACCCTATGGGTTGTTTTTTAGGACTTTACATAGTCATCTACTTTTGTGTTGGGGTTTCCCATCTCAGCCAGTGGGAATCTAGGACCCGCTGTTATTTATGTTAACTGACCTTTCTTTGACCTCTAGCAATAATCCTACAACTGATTCATTACACTTAACGTTTATTTCAAAAAAGTATGGAGCATCTACCGTTTAGAGGCAGTAGTTAGACTACTGAATGTAAAATTGCCTAACAGAACCACAAACAGTCAGGTGCTGGATTTGGTTGAAGATACCCAGCTAACTTGTTTAACCCTCTTCAAGCTTAACAGCCAGCATGCTGTAAAAATTACTGGTCCTGTGAAATATGCAGGGTTGTGTATTAGAATGTAACCAGTTTATGTATGATTCAATATGTCACATACTTGATTGGTAATGTTTCTTCCGTGTGTTTTAGGTATATTCGCTGAAAATTGTCTGACCAAGTTCTTTGTTTTCTTCTGTTCTTTATTACTGAATGGAGCATAGGCCCTCAACCAGCTCATACCAAGCCCTGTCCTTTGCTACCACATCTCAATCACATTTTTTTTCACATGACTCTCTGGTTCTCTTTCTGAACCATTTGCTGTGATTTTATTTGAGTAGATGGTTGCATTGCTGTCATTTTTAAAAACTAATACATGAAATATTTATTTGGGTTGGAAGTGCACCATTGATGTAAGAAAGAGATTTGTATAACTTTTTTTTTTCTTTTTTTTTTTTAAATTTTCAGCCTGACCAAGTTCCCTTGGATGAGAATGTGATTGTGAGCAAATACATATCATCACCCCTGGTCATTGATGGTAGGTAGAAACTTAGTATTTTTTTTCTCAGCCTAACATGACATTGCTCATCATCATCTGATACTTTTTTTTTTTTTTTTTTTTGGAAGGGTTTCACCCCAGAGCTGCACTGTTCAGAAAACAGAATTTTGTTACTACTAATAATTGAATATGGACCATGGTTTTGACTCTGCCAGTGCTCCTGTCCTGTGTAGTCAGAGTAAATAACAAAACAGGCAGCACAAAATGGTAAATTAGTAAAGTAAAGGACCCTTTTCAGAACAGTGGGCTCTGGGGCGGAGGCAAGAATAACCACTTGCCTCACAAATAAGCACGTCGTAGGAGTCAACTAATTGGGGGCATCCTGCTAGGTCAAAGTGAATCTGCTTGAGAGGCAAGGTACCAAAAGTCTGCATACAAATAAGCCAGATCTGTTTAAAAAAAAGGATGTGCATGCAACACTCAGGTTCTGGAACAGTGTGTATACAGACATACATAAAACATAAGTTAACAATGCAGATCATCATCATCCCTCTGTGCTGCTACATGTCACATAGGGCTCACAGTCTAGTCCTGTTCCATTCTATCCTGTACAATCCTCTTCATATGATGGATGTAATCCAGTTCGGCACCTTTGGCCACTCTTGGCAACTTTAGTCTTATGGTTTCTCTTGGATGTCCTCATTTCTTCAGTCCAGTTGTTTCCTACCTCAGTACCTATTTTGTGATTCTTTCTCCCTTCCTCCACATGTTTTGCCCAATATATTGCCATCTTAATCGTCTCATAACTGATATTACTAGCAAAATTACAAATATTGGTCTGACAAAAAAAAATTTATCAAGTGAAAGTCTGCGAAGGGATTGATCTTTTTTTTTCCCCACAGGCTTCAAGTTTGATATGCGCATCTATGTGGCCGTCACCTCGTACGATCCACTTGTGATTTACTTGTACGAGGAAGGACTGACCAGATTTGCCACAGTCAAGTACGAGAAAAATATGAAGCACATGAGAAATCAGTGCATGCACCTGACAAACTACAGTGTCAACAAGCGGAGCCAGGACTATGTCAAGTCAGTTCAGCTTTTTTTATATATATATATATAATTTTTGTTATATAAAATTACTGGGTTTTGGTTCTTGATGTATGCTCGCTGGATTTGAATCATTCAGGCTTTATTATTATTTTTTTTTCTTAATGTGTGATTTCCTTGTTCACATTCTTGATGTGTGATTACTAGGTTCACATTCTTGATGTGTGATTACTAGGTTAACATTCTTGATGTGTGATTACTAGGTTAACATTCTTGATGTGTGATTATTGGGTTCACATTCTTGATGTGTGATTACTGGGATCATATTCTTGATGTGTGATTACTGGGTTCACATTCTTGATGTGTGATTACTAGGTTAACATTCTTGATGTGTGATTATTGGGTTCACATTCTTGATGTGTGATTACTAGGTTAACATTCTTGATGTGTGATTACTAGGTTAACATTCTTGATGTGTGATTACTGGGTTCACATTCTTTGTGTGTGATTACTAGGTTCGTTTTCTTGATGTGTAATTACTGGGTTCACATTCTTTGTGTGTGATTACTAGGTTCGTTTTCTTGATGTGTAATTACTGAGATCATATTCTTGATGTATGATTGCAGTGTTGTAAAATCAAGCCAAGTCTTCTGCATAGAAGTTCGGGGGGGGGGGGGGGGGGTGTAAAGACCCACTGCTTCTTAGCATTCATTATATTGTGGTATTATGTCACTTAGGGCCTACAGTTCTATCCTCTGCCTTTACTTTAGTATAATGGATGGAACCCAATCTAGTGTCTTAAGCTTCTGTCATCAGCATTCACCTTAAGGTTTCTCTTAGACAACCTCATTTCCTCAATCCCTTTATTTCCTATTTAAGTGCCTGTTTGATGAATATCTATTCATCTCTTTTCAGCTTGTCGTAAAAGGTGACTAATTAGAGGTGTTCCTTTCTAAACAGTCTGTACACAGATAAACCAGAACAGTAAAATAGAGGTGCATGCACAACTCAAGTTCTGGTGAAAGACGAAAGTCTAGAAGTGACAACCAGAACTTTTCCACCAGAGTTTCCAGCTCCTAAACACACTTCCCAAACAAACAAAAACAGTCCACAAAGGATACGGTTTAGTGTTTGTGTTCCTTTGGGGGATAAAATCAAAAGTAGAATATTCGTTTGAATCAACATGATTAATGTATATTAAGTTTGATTAAGTTTGAAGGGGCCCCGTTAGCGCAGTGGATAAGAGGTTCACTTTTAAATCCAGCTGCGACTAGTGCAGCCACGGTCGGTGTTCGAAACCGGGTGGTTCCCGGGGTTCACCCAGCCTCTAGGAAATGGGTACCAGAGTTGACACTCTGGGGTAAATGGAGGAATGTCGCTACAGAGTTACGTGCGAGTGGCGACACAGGCGGACAGTTCTTATCAGCTGTCCGTACTGGTGGCAGAGAACTTATGGTTTATAACCGTGTGCAATGACGCTGGTTCAAATCTCCCGACTTTACCTTTACCTTTTAAGTTTGATTTCCCATTATGTTGGCAACCAAAACTCCTTGCTTTCTTCAGGAATGATGACCCGGATGTTGAAGACTATGGCAATAAGTGGTCTATGGGTGCCATGTTGCGATATCTGAGATCTGAGGGAAAAGACACTGCAGGTTTGTCCGTCTCTTTATTGGTTTTATAATGAGCTGTTTATCATTGACCTTACTTAGTGTGAAGTAATATGTAGGTCAACAACCTGTTTTAACTTCTTGGATGTTTGGTGCTAGCCTTTTTTAATTTTTAATAGACCGTCGGTGGGGGGAAGTGGCAGATCGGACCTTGGTAGGTCATTTTCAAAGGCACTTTTGCTTCCCATGACATTCTATGATACTCATTGTAGGCTGGATTGAGCTGAGAGCAACGGAAGTTGCAGTGCCATAGTGGATACTTTTTTTCCCCAAATGTCTTAGCTTCAAATATACATAAAGATGGATGTTTTTCTTCAAAAATTACCTTGTCTTCCAGGTTGACCCAACCTAAAATGGCTACCGCATAATGCCACAGGAAGTAAAGGCAGCCGGCTTGATGTTAAGTTGACCACAGGCATTACCCACTGAATACCAATTGGTCTTTAAACATATGTCTAGTCTAATGTGCCACTGGGGGGGAGGGGGTGTCCTTTTTCATTAGACCTCGTAGCCCTGTCGAATTTTTAAAATCCATTTCCGTGGAGAATCAGACCTCTAACCACTGAGCCAGCAGGCAAGTATTCTGCTCCTTTCATGCAATCGGAATCAATTTAAATATAATCTCAGCACAAGTTATATGCCCGCTAAAAAATACGTTTCAAACATATTTATACCCTTAAACCCCCCCCCCCCCCCCCCCGCCCCCTCTCCCTAACTGTCTCCAGATTTATTATACTTAGTATTATCACTGTTTGGAAAAATCGATGTAGTTACAGCTTATGCCAGGAATTGTGATTCAAAATTAGGTGTAGATGTGTATTATTTTTATGCTTATATGTGAACTGAATAATGTAAGTAAGCAGTGAGTCAAAAATGGCAGAATGTAAGAAGTGTCTGCATGCCCAATTCTTAACCCTTTGAAAATAAAGTTTGTTCGTTCATTCCATGGCTTTCATGTTATACTAGCCATTTTAAAATCCGGTACTTGCTGAGGATTGATCCTTAGACAATGTGTGATAAAATAAATCCTTACATTAACCTTAAGTGCAAATAGGGCACGACAGCAAAAGCAGAAATGATCAACATTGGTAGATTTTGTTACATGTCTGAAAAGGATCATGTATGCTGAAAGCCAAGTTTTATTTTTATATTTAAAAAAAAATATTATTAATCACACATTTAGACATGAAGAAGTACCAAAAAAGAGTGCAGGATGACACAACACTAGGGCAAAGAGGACAACATTTATAAAATGGTTGTAGTAATGAAGTCGGGCCCAGCTACACACTAGCTGACCTATCATTGATGTTTGCTAAGGCTTGTCTATATTACAGGGGTGTCACGGTGTACTTTCTGCATTGCATGTTAATTGTTGTGTGAGCAGTGGCTGTCGACATAGCGTTTTCACTCGTAAGCAGAATTAGTGTTTGTTGTAAGGAAGTTTTACCCCACCAGGATATCACACAGAGTGATAAACATCTGGCGCCAAAAAGTGCCACCATGTGGATGAGGATCACACGTAAAGAGGTCCCGGAATCCCTGTTCAACTGTTAGGTTATATTAGGGACCCCCAGCAACAGACAGGGTCAGCCGGTGCTACAGAGTTCATGCATTGCATTGAGATTCTTCGCACTCAGACTTATGCCATGATTTTGATCCGTTGTTTAAACCTTGAGTTTTTGTTGATGGGTATAGGATAGCCATCTCCAATTTTAAGTAGGACATGAGTTTATTTTAGCTGTCCGTGTTGATGGGTGACGAGGGGGGTACAGTTGTGTTTCTGGAGCAACACAGCATTTTCAGAGTCACCGCAAAATGTTAAAATGTCTGAAACCACGGGGCGTAGAATGCACTCTCTCCTGGTACCTAGGCTCATTGTGGTGGTTGGGGTTAGGATCCAGTTGTACATATGATGGGGGCGTTAAAACCGCTTGCATCCAGTAATATAGAGCACGCATGGTGGCCTGTAAGACCATCAAAACAATACAACCTTGCACCTCCCTGACACCCTTGCCACTTAGACTTACGCGCCTCAAAGGTGAAGATGCATCAGTGAACGTCCAGTTATGTCTTGCTGGGTCCGACTTCGCTACTAGAACTATAAAACACATGCATATATTTAATAATGCAGAAATGCATGGAATAACGAGCAGCATAATAAGACTGATGAGAAAGCTAAATGATCTGCTTATGGGCTGAAATACTTGATACGCTTTTTGTTTTGTTTTGTGTTTTTCAGTGTTCGCTGTATTTACTAATATATCTTTCTACTTTTGTTACCAGCTCTTATGATGCGGATTGAAGATGTGGTCATTAAAACCATTCTTTCTGTTGAATCATCCGTCGCAACAGCATGCAAGATGTTTCAGCCCTTCAGGGGGAACTGTTTTGGTTAGTACTCAGATTTTAATCCTTTTTTGTGTGTGTGTTTGTGTTTACTACCATGAGTTTATAGACATTCCAGTCTTTTTTTAATATTGGTGTTCTTTTGATATTGGTGCACTCCGGAGCAGACTTCTCTGTCATGTGATTTTAATGAAATGATGATCATCCCTTTGATGTAGGCCCTTCACAAAACTTGCTCTCCTGACCTCTGGAAAGCCCCTCAGTCTCTTTTCAATTCTCCTGCCTTATGTATTGTCATGCCCAATGTGTGCAGAATATCCAGTGCATTTTTTCTGCTGGCAGGCCCCTGCCTCTTCCTGTGTGGGTCGGGGGGGGGGGGGGGGGATAGACCCACTGCTACCCTAATAAACATGTTGCAAAAGGCTTCTAATGGGGGGTGTTTTGAACAAGTGGACGAACAGCCAGAACTTTCCACCAGAGTTTACAGGCAGTGAATTTTAAGAAAAAGATTAAGAGATCTGTTTTAAATGGTAATAGCTGGATTACTAATAGAAACCTGTTTGCAATAGTAATAGCTGCATTACTAATAAATTACAAACATTCATTAACTGGTGCCTGCTCAGAACAGATGGAAGCATAGGTATCATAGAATCACTAATGTGGAGCTTTGGAAAAGAACTAAACAAATTCCAGTGAAGAAAAGATGAAAACCCGAGAGCAATATAACTAAAATGTATTTACCCTGGAAATCCACAGGCCCATCAAAATTAAGGCAGAACAAAAATACACACACAAGGGAGCTAGAAAGTGGAGTTAAAAAAAACTGGGAAAGGCTTGGGTGAGCTGCGTGGGATAGCAAATTACAGGATGTGTTGGTTAAGGGCCTATGCTCCGTTAAGGGATAAAGGGCAGAAAAAAAGAAAGGCTTTTTTTTTGTTAGGCATATATAATTGAAATAGTAATGGTTAGTACCAAAAAAAAAATGAAGATCCAAAAAAATAAAATTAGTAACCACGGAAATGAGATGTCTGAAAAGGGCTGTAGGAGTGACAATTAGAGATAAGATCAGGAATGAGATCATAAGAGAAAAAGTCGGCACAGAACCAATTCTGGATTACATACGAAGACAGCAAGTGAAATGGTTTGCCCACTTAGAAAGAATGCCTTGTGACACCATACCACACAAAGCATACATGGAAAGGGAAGAAGGACGTAGAGCACGAGGTAGACCAAGAACATTATGGAAGGATAACATCAGAGAAACTCTACAACAGCACGATGTGCCTATGGTCGAGGCGGCCAGAAGAGCTAGAAACAGAACCTTATATCTCCCTCGACACCTACAGCGGTAAAAGAGGAAGTGAAGAAGGAGAATACAAGAAATAACAGTTGTTATAACTGTACCTTGTTTTTTTTTTCTCCCCAGAGTTGTATGGTTTTGACATCCTTTTAGATGAAACTCTGAAGCCTTGGGTTTTAGAGGTGAATCTTTCTCCCTCGTTGGCATGGTATGTCATTGTGTAATGTTTCACCTTGCTACAATTTGTACCATCTTGTTTTACCTTGCTACAATTTGTACCATCTTGTTTCACCTTGCTATAATTTGTACCATCTTGTTTTACTTTGCTACAATTTGTACATCTTGTTTCACCTTTCTACAATTTGTACCATCTAAGGAATTTATAATGTCATGTTATGTGTGTTTTGCTTACAAATCCTCACTTTGAAGAAGCTGAAGATTATAACTGTATTTTGTATTCTTTTGTCATAAATAAAACAAACATATATGGTGAACCATCTGGCAGCTGTGTTAGATTTAACCAGAGAATGATGCTTTGAGACAAACTGTAGGGTTGCAACAGTGACCTATGCAACAAGGTAATGTTTATTACCCTGGCAGTAGATCTTCTTTTTTTACTCGTCCTGTTCTACTTCTTAGTGTGTGGTGACACATCTCTTGGTGAGTCTTCTTGGCTTTTGGATTTGGGCATCAAGCATGAAACTGCTCACAACGAGCTCATGAGGACTGACAAATGTGCAGCTAATTAGTCTGCAACAGGGACACCCAGCATCCATACTATTGACATTTGCTGAGAGAACCTCACCCTTATGGATTTATCCCAAGTACAGTGATAACGGGGATCCATAAAGAAGTGGCTTAACACTTGCCTGCTGGCCTAACCTAAAAATTTTGGTTCAAATCAATATCCTGATATTTTTTTTCTAATTGACCTTGACTTGCTGTCAACCTAACCTAAATAGGTACAGGAAATTTCCAGTCATTAGAATTAGCCTAAAATAGATACAGGAAATTTCCTGGGAAGTAAATGGTGGGTGTGATATTAACCACTTCACCCATAAGGTGCTGTCTAATGTGCCTATAGCATTTAAAAAAGGGCCTTTCACTTGTTTTACTGTTTTACAGTTCATGATCATAAAATCACAGTAAAAAAAAATTCATTCCTGAGCGGACGTTGTCTCAGAAATCATCATTTAAAAATGTAATTCAGTGGTGTCTACTCAGACTTCCAGAAGATAAAATCTGGCCTAGTGGTCAGCTAATCGTGGCTCACGCACTACATACAGCTCTTTAGCGACCTGAGTGGGGCTCTGCCAGTTGGCCACAAATCGGTTTTGACTACGAAAAACTTGGTTCTTGGCAGGTTCTTGGCAAGAAATTTGGCTCCCCCAAAACATTTTGATCAGCCTGCTGCTGATTTTTGGCTCTTTTGACTAAAAAGTTTGCTGACCACTGATCTAACCATATATGCTGACCTCATGGGTCACCGGAGGAACCTGGGAGCTTAGGCATTGGATAGGAAAAATCTAAAGTAGGTGGGCTGAGATCACTCAGTATATTTTAGGAAGAGAGGTCCCCACCTACCCACCCTCTACAATATATAGATGTTCTGTTTTTAAACTTAAACTGTTTAAGCATTTGTTTAAACATTTATATTTCAAATGGGTTTTTTTTTCTTTTGCTGAGGTTTTATGTTACAAATTTCAGTCTTCATAAAATTTTTTTAAAAATTTCACATTTTAAGGTTCATGTTTTGCATTTTATTATGTTTGTTTCTTCTAGTGATAGCCCTCTCGATTTGAAGATAAAAAGCAACATGTTATGTGACCTACTCAGTTTGGCTGGTAAGTATGCCCTTGGTGTAATGTTGTTACATCCTTTCTGTACATAAATCTATCTTGTATACCATGTTGTTTACATAGAACTATATACTGTCTGTGTTTAAAACTGGTAATTTCTTTTTTCTTCATCTTTATGTCCTCTTTTACTGCTTTGGGTGTTGAGGGAGATATAAGCGCTCTTCTGGCTGCTTTGACCATAGATACATTTTGATGCTATAGAGTTTCTCTATTATCTTCCCATGTTCTTGGTCTACCTCTTGCTCTGCATCCATCTCCTCTTTTGGTATATGCCTTGTATGGTATAGCATCAGAAGGCATTAAACTGGTAATTTGCTTGTACATATTTTAATTGATGTCATTTTATTTTTATTGTGACATCTACCAGTCTGTAAAACTATTTTGAGCAGATATAAACCTAGCATGTAGTTAAATAAAAATACCACCAAACTCTGCAATTTTTTTTTAGAAATGTATTGATTGGTTTTGTTGTTGTTTTTGTGGGTATTACACATTTTAAATTGCACGCAAAAAAACATCTAATAAACTACACAAATTCATTAACCTGCATATATTTGAAGGTATACATTGACAGAGAATCAGTGACAAAGAATTTATTGAGAAAATCTGATAATAGTATCAATAGAATGTTCTTTGTGGCAAGATGATCTCAGTCACCAGTGTGATGGAAAGTTAAGCCCATTGTTGTGTGTAAGGAGATACTTGTGCCTCAGCTCAGGTGTCAGCAGGCTCTGTGCTTGTTTTACAGATCCTCATGCCAGATTTCTGCCTCACATCCTTGCAGTGGGCCACGGTGGCCTATATCTATCTAAAGTAAGCAAGTGGGGATCTCAGAGTTGGTGGACCTCCGAGATGCAGTGCCTAGAAATCCTTTGGTATTCGTCAGCCCACCCCCTGTGCATGGGTGATAATATGCGTAGAGAACTTGTTTGGAACATGGGTGAAGACTGCTGTTTGAGCACCCTACTAAATGACAAACTCAGGTTCAAATGTCTGCCATCCAAAAGTCTAACTGTATGATAAACTTTGATTCTAATGACGATGGACAAGATAATTCTACTGTGTGGCTGCATATGTTCAAATGTCAGCTATTTGAAAGTTCTACAGTATGACAAACTTTGATTCTAATAACTGTGTACAAGATATTCTACTGTGTGGTGCATATGTTCATATATTAGCTATTCGAAAGTTCTACTGTATGATAAACTTTGATTCTAATAACTGTGTACAAGATATTCTACTGTGTGGTGCATATGTTCATATATTAGCTATTCGAAAGTTCTACTGTATGATAAACTTTGATTCTAATAACTGTGTACAAGATATTCTACTGTGTGGTGCATATGTTCATATATTAGCTATTCGAAAGTTCTACTGTATGACAAACTTTGATTCTAATAACTGTGTACAAGATATTCTACTGTGTGGTGCATATGTTCATATATTAGCTATTCGAAAGTTCTACTGTATGCAAATTATCAAGTGTCCTACTGTATGACAGCAATGGGTCAGATGTTCCCAGCTGAAAGATCCTACTTATGACACACATACGGTTCGCACATCTGCTACCAATGGCCACACTTGTTAGAGTGTAAAGACCATAAGGAACTGCTTACTGAGGATCCCTAAATGGCACAGCCCATAATGAGTTGTCACCAAACGTATGAGACAACTATCCCATGAAACTAACCAGGAAGGCTAACCCAGATAACAAACACCTAACAGATGTGTCAGCCGAAAAGTGCAGATTTTTTTTACAAATCATTGAGCTTCTATCATACTAAGTGAAAATTACTTGCCAGAGAGGATAATGCCATCATACTTCTGCTCGAACCACTTTATGCACTCATACTTGGTGATCCTGTGTTTGGCACCAACAGCGCTTTTTCTCCTCCTGCGCTGGCTGATGTTGAATCCTGGTCTGCCAAGGACAATGTAGATACCAATCCAGGGTCATACTTGGTGCCCAAGTGAATATGCTCTTGGATTCCAAATCCAAATTTGTTGTTGTTCTTTCTCAACTTATACTCACGGACCTTCAACCCCTTTTTTCAATATCTCTTCTGCTTTGGCATCTCATACAGTGCAGTGGACAGACAATCTTATCATTACGCCTGATTCCAAAAGATCTCACAGTGTAGCGATCTATTGAGAACACAGGTGTCTGTCCTGTTAGCTGTTCAAACACTTTGGCTGCTCTGGTCAGTCTGTCACCTGACCCACCCACGCAGATGTTCGGACAGCATTTGCAAATGCAAAGCTGGCGCTTCACGTTTGTCTTGATTTCCTGATCTTGATCTGCCATGGCAAAGAAGTGCAGATATGCTGTAAACAGACACAACATTTTTGCGTCACTATGAACAAAAAAATGACTGACTGACTTTCTACACCACCAGGACATCACTCAAGCGATAAACACCCGATGAAACAATGTGCCACCATGTGGGTAAGGATCACCCTGGAGAGGTCCCAGAAACCGCGTTCAGCCTCCAGGCCACATTTATTGCGGCCCCTGGCAAGAGCCAGAGTAGGGCTTTAAATAACGAAAAATTTCATCTTAAAAAGGACAGAAAGTGATTAAAAAACAAAAACAGTGAAGAAAAACAATGTCCTTTTACAGGAACCAACCATTAAAAAGAGATGGAAACCTAAGAATATATGGCCAAGAAAATTAAAGATTAGATCTCTTCTGGCTGGACATTAAGGCAGATAGCAATAACAAAAAAAAAGATGATATGGCATGGATTGGTTGAGGGCCTTTGCTCTATTGGGAGATAAAAGTTAAAAGAACACTCGTTAGGAATGGGGTCACAGTAACATAGTAGTTAATTCCCTGGTTTACCTGGGTCAGAGTTGCTTCCCCCTCAGGGTCCTGATTCTTTTTTCCAACCATCACATCCATAAGGTTGACCCAGCCTCGTCAAATAGAAACTGAATAACTTTCAGGATTGGGTTTGAAGAGGAGGCAGAGAACTGGACACTTCACACCTCATGAAAGTACCCACTAAGGGACTACCTCAATAGTTTTTTTTTTGACTTATCATAAAAGAACGTTATCATAAAACACGTTATCTTCTTTCAGGTGTTATTTGTCACGATCCACTAATGCGAAGTCGTCAGCAAGTTAGCAAACAGGCAGCAGAAATTACAGTCAAGTTGAAAAGCAAATTGAAGGTAAGATCTCTAATTCAGTGTGCTGATTCTTTCTACTTATACTTGTGTAGCTAGCTATCTTAGCATAGCCCATTTTATGATTTCTTTTTTAACATTGTCTGGTGTTAGCCTTTACAGTGCCTATGTAGAATTTGCATTGTGAAGAAGCTGAATGTAACATTTCTATTTTATTCAACCTAGTGTAACATTTCAGTTATATTTTCTATAATTGCTTCACTGTACTGCATTTTTAACTCTAATGCTTTTAGAGGAATAATTAATGTTGCTATACAATTACTTTATTGCTTAAAATACCTGCATTAAACATTATTTGTGTGAAATTGAATGAAGATTATAAAATAAAACGTGTACATGTAAGTGTATGATTGTAGAGCTACTTGTATGTGAGAGTTGGTGGGAAGGTGCCCATGTAATACCAGAGCCTGGAAACACAGAACAGTAACACTAATAATGTACTATCCTCATCACAAGAGGCAATAAAGGAGGGTTGGTCCCCTACCCAATAGAAACTTGAGTCGCAAAAGCCACCTAGCAACTTTCATGAAAGAAATCAAGAATTCCTAGACTAGTGGGAATGACATTTCTCAGAGAACTACAAATTAAAACAGAGAAAGCTGTGAGAATGTTGAACTGCATGCTAGACTTAGTTTCACCAAGGAAAATCTCCAGAATGATCACCTGGAGTGTTATAACTGAGTATGATTGGTAATGGCATCAGAGGTGGTCGGAGAAATTCATTATTATAAGATTAGTAATTTAGAATTGATGCGAGTCCGGGGCCTATCTCTCTGTCCTTAAGAAAGACAATAGGGGCTTTTGAGCTGACATGCTATAGAAAGATGCTCAGAATATCTTGGACAAAGAAGATGAGAAATATTGACATCTTAAAAGATCTGAACATCAAGGAAGATTGGCTAATAAACAGCATCCTTTCTCGAAAGCTGAAATATTTTGGTCATATCAAGCGCCACGACGGATTGGAAAAAAATTATAGCAGAAGGCATGGTACCAGGAAGGAGGGGCAGGGGCCGACCGACACGAAGATGGGCACAGGATATAAGTGACTCCTTGAGTGTGAAAGTTCATGAGGCGGGGGAACTGGCAAGAGACCGAGTTTCTTACAGGCAGACTGTGATGAGAGCGACGTTCTGCAAAGGACCTGCTACATGATGATGATGAATTTAGACTTGAGGGGCAGCCGAATGGTTAAGAATTTTGGGCTGTAGGAGACCCATGTTTGAATCCTCGATAAGTTTGTGGATTTTTTCAGTTGGGGGAGGGGGTCCACTAGCCTTACAGCCATAAATTATTACAGACCCTTTACCTACACCACAAAAGTGGTAAGTAAAGGCAGTAGTAATAGTTCTTAGGACAGTATTTTAGAATCATGCAGTATAGAATCAAATGAAGTAGACAAAGAGATAATCAGAAAAAACCTAAATAGGCGACAAAACCTGTCTAGAAGCAAGACCAGTGTTCTTCCAACTACTCTGTCCAGTCATAATCTCACTTAAAAGTGTTAGTTCTTACTCTAGGCAAGACAGTCATAAGAATAATAATAAAGGTCTTCATCAGTAATTTGTCACTCTAACTTGGGTGTGTCTTATGAATAGGGAGCCTCTCACCACAGTTTGACATTTCTGTCCTTGTTGAAAGTCTTCCCTTTCACTAATTGATTCGTCTTCTTTTCTAGGCTCTTTTATCTTCTGCATTCACCATTAAAAGGGCAATAAACAGCTTGTGTAGTGGTTTACAGCAAGGCTATGATATCTGCACCTTTTGGCCAACACACCCGATTTCCTGAATTGTCTACAACATCCTTGTTAGGGGGCAGTGAGCCTGTCCACCCTCCACCCCCAATCCCCAAGTGGGCTTCCATAATCCACACATGGATTCTTCTGATACAAGGGAATCTTTAAACACATAAATCATAACACAATTTTTTCTCTGAGTGACATAAAACCTGTGTGTCACTGGAGCCCATGAAGAAAGTATAGTAACATTGTAACCAACCATGCATGTCATAAGAGATTCCTAAGGAAGGTTGGCAATTCAGTCAATTTTTTGCGTGTACACATAAAACTTGGCATGAGTTTGTTGAGTGTCTGTGTTCCATTGGGAGATGAAAGGCAGAAGAATAAGAAGAAGAATTACAAAAACTAAATTTTCTAGACTGCTTCTTAACTTTCACAAGCTGTTAACTCTAGAGGAAAGTTCTGGTGGTATATCCATTCTTAGACTTTGGTCTTTATCCAAAATTGAGTTTTCATTTTTTTTGTTTTGCCCATAATAAAAAATCAGCCTCATTTTTCATTGTATATTCATTCGACAGATCTGTATTATTTGTATGCAGGCTGTTGGTTCCTTGCATCTCAGGCAGATGTACTCCCATTTTTAAGAATACAACCCTAATTATTGGCCTTTTAAAATATGCTGTGGAGAATGTCTTCTTTTTTGTTCTTCAGAATGAAGCTCCCAGAACCCAGACAGTTAAAATTCTCTAGACCCTATGTTCTATATAATATTGTTAAATTACTTGCTGTAGTTATTGCTGTGTAATGATTGTCTAACTAGGGAGAGCTGGATGATAATACTGCTGAGCTGCTCGGTCAAATTGAGGCTGCTCGATTATACATGAAAGACACTGATAATTGGCTCATGAGCAGGGTAGAGAACTCTGTTGGACAAATTTTCACTTTCCCCGTTCTTTGCATTAGTTTTCTTGCTGAAAGTAACTATTTGAATTGTTTTTAAGTTTTCCTGTTTTCTTGTTATATTTTTTGCAGTGGTCAGTGTTCAGCACCAGCAATTAATGAATAATTTATTTTCTGAGTAGTGTAGTCCCTAGGAATGACCCGGCCTTAAACCTATTGGTACCAGATATACTATAATAATTTTTATGGCAGTTGTCTGAAATAAGAACTGGCTGGCTGAATGGATAAGAATGCTGGGATCATTTAAAGTGATGATTTATTTTATTTAAGTGTCTTGTTTTCTGGTTATAATTTTTCAGAAGTTGGTTAGTTAGTTATTTGAAGATTATCGTCAGTTCACATCAGACATTTTTTTAGGGGTAGTTTGGGAAAATAAAGCAGAAATTAAGAACCCACTCAATCTAAAACACACAAAAAAACAAAAAAAGTGAGAACCAAAATTAAGGTTTGTTTTCCACACTAAAAATGTAGGCTGTATTTAAAGTATAACCAGGTAACTTCATTCAAACATCAGATATGTTACACATTATGTTTATACGTTGGAAATAATGTTTATTTTGTTTTTGTTTTTGGTTCAGTTTTGTATAATTTTGATTTATTTTCTCATGTCATCATTCTGTTAACAATTTAGGCTCCTGGAGACTAAATTGTCTAACAGGATTTATTCTTCAGATTTCAGTTTTCTTTTTTTCGTTACCTTTGCATTCTCTCTCTTTTTTTGTTTCTAATTGTTATAGGATCATCGGGTTTGTTTGCCAGTGAGAAAATCACCAAGATTTTGGAGGGTATACACATTTTTCCTCCATATTGTTTTGTGTTTTGAGAATTTCTTTGTAACAGAAAAATGTATAAGTGATGATATGCCAGTATTTTCTTGTAATATGGTCAGTTTGCAGCCACAGTATTGTTTTAGACATTTCAGTTGTAGATCTGTAGGACACATACTTTGTACAGTAGTGACCAATCAGTTGATTTGTCCCCTCAAGGCTGCAACCTAAATGTTTACCATGGCATCCCTGGGTTGAGGAATCTCAGTTTGAATAGCTGACCAATCAGGCAGAAACGCAGCTGAATCTCTAAAGAAGCTATAATTAGGGCACCTGTAGCAGCAACACCAGCCAGGTGTAACCTGCAGTTCTGTCTGGGCAAGGAATGTGCTTTGATTGGTTTGTCCTCTCCAAGCTGCTACCATAACATCCCGAGATTGAACAGTCTCAGTCTGGAAACTAGACCAACAAGGCAGATCCCAGATACCCCATTCAACCTACAAAGAAGTTACTATAAGGGCACCCATAAAGACTATACCGGCCAAGTGTAACCTGCAGTCCTGTGCTGGTAAGGATGTGATTTCAAGAGAGACTGACTGATGTTCAACCTCAGCAGGACCTTACAACAAGCGATAGTCACCCAGTGGCACTACGTGCCACAAATCAGATGAGAATCGCCTAAGTGCAGGTCCCAGAAACCCCATTCGACAGTTTGGTTATATTAGGGCTCCTAACGACCGCCAGGGTGGGGCTTTAAAATAACACAAAAATTTTGTCCTCTATTGAGAAGGGGGGGGGGGGGGTAATTTGATTTGTAGATTTGTTAAAATGCAAAGTAATTCAAAACATGATATGCCATTGGTCCTGCAAAATAAGCCGATTTGTGCACATCAGAAAGCAGAAAATAAGCTTAAACCAAAAGTTTGAGTTGAATGTCTGTTTTATATCTGTGTGTTTTAGAACAGCAACAATTTATTAGGACTTAGCCATCAGAATCTTGACTATTACACTTTTTCGTAAGGATTGTGTCCTATTTTTTAATGATGTAATTTTTCTAATGATCCCATTTAGTGCTGTTTATTTCCTTTGGCCTTAACAGATTCTGTTTGCCATATTCTGTTTGAATTTATATATCAGTTCTTGGGAACTGTTTCTTTGTTTCATCTCATACTCATTTATGTTGTCAATTAAGCCTGCTAAATTTCTAAACATTTCTTAACCATAGCTGATCTTAATGAATCCTTGCTATTTTAGAACTTCTGTCCGCTTTTAGTTTTGAAGATGTTATTTGACACACTCTTTGGGATTAAAATGCCTGTAAGCAAGAATACAGTTCTAATAAATATTAATTTGAAACTGGTATATAATTTGTCAGTCGAAAGCAGATTATAGGATTTATTTTGCTAACAGCTTTCGTTATAATCTGTCCATTAACATTATCACTGTGCTCTCAGTTTCAGCTTAACTTGAGCTCTCCTATGCTAATTCCTTGTTCCTTATGCAGCCTATATTTTTAGAT